GATTCAGAGGAGAACTGGGTGAAAGTGTTGTGGTCAGATGAGACCAAAATCGAGCTCTTTGGCATCAACTCAACTCACCGTGTTTGGAGGAGGAGGAATGCTGCCTATGATCCAAAGAACACCATCCCCACTGTCAAACATGGAGGTGGAAACATTATGCTTTGGGGGTGTTTTTCTGCTAAGGGGGCAGGACAACTTCACCGCATCAAAGGGACGATGGACGGGGCCATGTACCGTCAAATCTTGGGTGAGAACCTCCTTCCCTCATTCCAGCATGACAATGACCCAAAACACACGGCCAAGGCAACAAAGGAGTGGCTCAAGAAGAAGCACATTAAGGTCCTGGAGTGGCCTAGCCAGTCTCCAGACCTTAATCCCATAGGAACTCTGTGGAGGGAGCTGAAGGTTCGAGTTGCCAAACGTCAGCCTCGAAACCTTAATGACTTGGAGAAGATCTGCAAAGATGAGTGGGACAAAATCCCTCCTGAGATGTGTGCAAACCTGGTGGCCAACTACAAGAAACGTCTGACCTCTGTGATTGCTAACAAGGGTTTTGCCACCAAGTACTAAGTCATGTTTTGCAGAGGGGTCAAATACTTATTTCCCTCATTAAAATGCAAATCAATTCATAAAATTTTTGACATGCATTTTTCTGGATTTTTTTGTTGTTATTCTGTCTCTCACTGTTCAAATAAACCTACCATTAAAATTATAGACTGATAATTTCTTTGTCAGTGGGCAAACGTACAAAATCAGCAGGGGATCAAATACTTTTTTCCCTCACTGTACCTTAATTATTCAATCAAGTACAAGAGAGGAGTGAAAACCCCTAGACACTCTGCCCTCCGTGGAATGAGTTTGACACGTGGCGCACTATGGCATCGCTCTTATTTTGTTCCAACTTGCACCTCAGGCTGTAGTGTTGTTTGGCTGGTAGTGTTACGCTTTAGCCAAGTTGCACCATCAAAGTAGCTCTGTCATCACTTTCACTGAGGCAAGGTGTTCCAGGTCCATACAGCTCAATGGGGGAATTGGAAGGTGGTGATAATAATGTTTTTAATGTGTTTAATCATGGTAACAGCCCTGAGATACTAACCCTTCATCACTACCTCCCTGGCCAACCTCTAATTATACTACCCTTGATGTGAAGGTGGTGAAAGTGAGGACAGAGTAGGAACACAGAAGGCTGCTGAGGGGAGGACGGCTCATATTAATGGCCGGAACGGAGGGGATAGAATGGCATCAAACACATCCAGTTTTGCTTTCTTTATAATTTACTCTATTAGCTGCAGACAGACAGGCAGGCAGGCAGGCAGATGGGAAGGCAGTGGAAGTAGCACACTAGCAGCACTGTGCTACAGGAGTTTATAACAACATCATGAAACCCCAAAGCGGCTGTCTCATAAAACCACAAAATGACTCTAACATTTCTGCCCTGTGGAAGTGTGTTTTTTTTAAACCATGAATATGAACATGAGCTCATGATTCCAGAGTAAAGAATATGTTTCTCTACACTAGCGAACCCCAGGTGTTTTCATTGTTAATTAAATGGTTTTCACAATCAGACTATTTTTGGATAGTAACCATGTCTAGTCTACAGCTGTCCCCCACTGACCCTCAGGCAAAATAATAGTTATTTACTTTTACAGGCACTGTATGTGGAGCTATTCATTTCTCTAGTTTATTGTAATGCCCCTAGGCTCTTTACAGAATCAAATCTGATAACCATTGTTATCAGTATTGAGTCCCAAAGTTGTAGCCTCGTAATTACCAGACTGGTTACCGCTGCGCTATCAAATATGCGTGCAAGGAACATTCATGTAAGCTCGCAAGATCAGGCGGCTTAGGAGGCTACTGAAGTTGGACCCTGGGGACAATAATAACCTCTTTATATCAGTGGAGGCTGCTGAGGGGAGGACGGCTCATAATAATGGCTGGAACGGAGCAAATGGAATGGCATCAAACACATACTGTATTCTGGCTTTAACAGGGTCATCTACAGAGGGTCCCATGATCCCTGAAGAGACCAGTGTTTTATTTTCCGTGTGAAAAGAGCTTTCATTTCACCTACAGGTCCTTCTCAGTCCTCAGCAGAGCCAATTTATGGCCTGTTGTTGCTGCTGCCAGCCTGTCAGCAGGGTTCTTAAACACACTGCAGTTAAGCCTGTATGAACACTGCAACCCCAGTAACACATCAGGGAGGGAGGGAGAGAGGGAGGGAGAGGGAGGGAGAGAGAGGGAGAGAGAGGGAGAGGGAGGGAGAGAGGGAGGGAGAGGGAGGGAGAGAGAGGGAGAGAGAGGGAGAGTGAGAAGTTACAATCTAGCTGCAATATTAAAGCTGATCTACCCCCCAAAAAAACTAAACAAAAAAGAGAAGGGGGAGTTGAGAGAGAGAAATAGAGAAGGGGGAGTTGAGAGAGCAGAGGAGAGGGAAAGAGGGAATTGAGAGAGATGGAGAGGGAAGGAGGGAGAAGGGATTGAGAGAGCGTGAAGGGAAAGTTGTCAGAAAGTGAAAGTAATTATTACTAGTGCAAAATATTTTTGCTTTTAACAGGCTCTCCTCTCTGGCAAACACCCAATATGGAAACAATCTCTCTCGCTCAATTCAAAGGGTGTCACGATCGTTCATGAATGAGAAGGACCAAGGCGCAGCGTGATATGCATTCATATTTATTAACGACTAAACACACGACAAAACAACAAACGAAACGTGAAGTCCACTGGGCTGACGACGCGCACCACTGGCTTGGTGCGGGGAGCAGGAACGGGCCGTACCGGACTGGCGACGCGCACCACTGGCCTGGTGCGGGGAGCAGGAACAGGCCGGGCCGGGCTGGCGACGCGCACCACTGGCTTGGTGCGAGGGACAGGAACAGGTCGGACCGGACTGGCGACGCGCACCACTGGCTTGGTGAACGGGGCAGGAACGGGCCGGGCTGGCGACGCGCACCACTGACTTGGTGCGAGGGACAGGAACAGGCTGGACCGGGCTGGCGATGCGCACCACTGGCTTGATGCGAGGAGCAGGCACGGGCCGAACGATACTGGGAACACCCACCACTGGCTTAGTGCGGGAATCAGGAACGGGCCGGACCGGACTGGCGACACGCACCACTTGATTGGTGCGAGGAGCGGGACTGGGTTCCTTCATTAACCCCCGCTCCTTCTGCTGCCTAACCAGCTCCTCTCGCCGTGCCTCTACACTTTCCTTCTGTTCCCTCTGCACCAATGACTCCCTTAATCTGGCGGCCTCCTCTGCTAAACGGCTGAACCGCTCTATCGCGGCCTCCTGCTGCCTCGTCGTCCACGGCGTGAGCCCCCCCCCCCCTAAAAAATGTTTGGGCTTGTCTCTCCCCCGTGATCATGGCCTCCATCCCTCTTGCCAGACTCTCGCTCATCTCCTCCCAAGTCCATCCTCTCTCCTCGTCACGCTGCTTGATCCAGGCTTGGTGGGATCTTCTGTCACGATCGTTCATGAACGAGAAGGACCAAGGCGCAGCGTGATATGCATTCATATTTATTTCACGACTAAACACACAACAAAACAACAAACGAAACGTGACGTCCAAGGTAGACAAATAACATACCTCACACGGAACAAGATCCCACAACTGACTGGTGCCAAAAGGCTGCCTAAGTATGGTCCCCAATCAGAGACAACAAGCTACAGCTGCCTCTGATTGGGAACCACCCTGGCCAACATAGATCTAAACGATCTAGACACTAACATAGACAAGAGTTTGTTCTTCACTGCTTGCCCTTTTCTTGTGGCAACAGGTCACAAATATTGCTGCTGTGATGGCACACTGTGGTATTTCACCTAATAGATATGGGAGTTTATCAACATTTTATTTGTTTTCTAATTCTTTGTGGGTCTGTGTAATCTGAGGGAAATGTGTCTCTCTAATATGGTCATACATTTGGCAGGAGGTTAGGAAGTGCAGCTCAGTTTCCATCTTATTTTGTGGGCAGTGTGCACATAGCCTGTCTTCTCTTGAGAGCCAGGTCTGCCTACGGCGGTCTTTCTCAATAACAAGGCTATGCTCACAAAGCTTTCCTTAAGTTTGGGTCAGTCACAGAGGTCAGGTATTCTGCCACTGTGTACTCTCTGTTTACGGCCAAATGGCATTCCAGTTTGCTCTGTTTTGGTTAATTCTTTCTAATGTGTCAAGTAATTATCTTTTTGTTTTCTAATAATTTGGTTGGGTCTAATTGTGTTGCTGTCCTTGGGCTCTGTGGGGTGTTTGTGTTTGTGAACAGAGCTCCATGACTAGCTTGCTGAGGGGACTCTTCCCTAGCTTAATCTCTCTATAGGCGATGGCTTTGTTATGGAAGGTTTGGGAATCACTTCCTTTTACGTGGTTGTAGAATTTAACGGCTCTTTTCTGGATTTTGATCATTAGCGGGTATCGTCCTAATTCTGCTCTGCATGCATTATTTTGTGTTTTATGTTGTACACTGAGGATGTTTTTGCAGAATTCTGCATGTAGTCTCAATTTGGTGTTTGTCCCATTTTGTGAATTCTTGGTTGGTGAGCGGACCCCAGACCTCACAACCATAAAGGGCAATGGGTTATATAACTGAATCAAGTATTTTTTGCCAGATCCTAATTGGGATGTCAAATTTGATGTTCCTTTTGATGTCGTAGAAGGCCCTTCTTGCCTTGTCTCTCAGATCCTTCACAGCTTTGTGGAAGTTACCTGTGGTGCTGATGTTTAGGCCGAGGTACGTATAGTTATTTGTGTGCTCTAGGGCAGGGTTTCCCAGCTCAGCTGTCAGCCCTCCCAAGCCTGGCCCTCAGCACGGCTCTCAGCCCTCCCCAGCCCGACTCTCAGCACGGCTCTCAGCTCTCCCCAGCCCGGCGCTCAGCACGGCTCTCAGCCCTCCAAACCACGACTCTCAGCCCTTAGCATAGCCCTATGAGGCTAATTGGATCCTGAGCCACGATTAGCGTGTAGCGCTATGCTAGCCTGGGGGATTTATCTGGCCAAAGATTTATGATGAACGGCGGCCGGCACCGTCCATCTCACAGAAACTGGACAGCGGAGCTCAGTGGAGCCCAGCGGAGCCCCAGAGCAGCCCAGCTCAGGTTGGAGGGACGCCGCAGGGACAGAGCCTCTCCTCTGGGATGAGGAATTCTGTCCCCTGGCTGTCAGCCTCTGGAGAGAAGCTGGGGGGGCTACTAATAAAGTATTCAGAGAGGAAGTACTGTAGTATGTACAGTTTAGTCATTTGGACAGCTATTGGTCTATACTGTAGTAGCCTATGTACAGCCACATAGAGACTGCACAGCAAGTTCTCCAGTGTTAAATCAACAATAACCACATTTCCATCCACAGTTTTTATGCGAGTAAAGTCATACCGTATAAAAAACAATCACCACAGCTGTGATGGAAACAGGAAGTTTCGGTACAATTTTATAAATGCCGACATGATTTGTACGTTCGACATGGTGGGATCTTTTTGTGTCTGTAAAATTAATTATGCGAGAAATGGCGGTGGAAATGCCTTTATGCGTAACTATTGATATAATAACCATAATATTGAAGTAAACTTGGAGTCACGCGATGATATGGGTGTGTGGTCCTCCCACTATGACTCGGGAAACCTTAGGCTACAGATGAAATAAGTTATGATGAACTTCAAAGGGTGGTGAAAGTGTACAGTGATCTTGATGCTCTTTTCCAATAAATATCGAGGGTCTTATTCTGGTGACATGATGATCGATGCTTGACTGCCGTTTGACAAATACAAATATTTATCCATAATAATCTCATAATGTAGACTAGCCTACCCACACAGCCTAACCACACTGTATCTGCCAGCTGTTGGCTAGAGCGCACATGCCAAGACCAGAGTAGGCACATTTGCTATTTAACGCAACCGTTTTTGTGATATACTGTAACTATCGGTAGAGTTGAATATGCGATGGAAACAAATTGAACTTTAGATTTTTTTATTTTGTGTGTGCTACAGTATGTCATCACCCACTGATTTTTATCCACAACAAGTCTGTTTGGTGGAAACACACCACTGGTGGGAAAATATGCATATTTTCTTTATACTGATTCTAGAATATTTGCATGAAAATCTGTCACCAATTAGACGGAAAGATAGCTACTGAGAGTGTTAAATTAACACTGAATGTGTGGACCCGTATAAACACTGGAACAGTGTTAAAAAACAATCATACTAAGTGACCCAATGCCTGCAACCCAGCAGTTGGGTCATCCAAACAACCCAGTATGTACGGTATGTCCTCAAAATAAGGCCTTATGAAATACATATTGTATTGTTAAATAATTACATTTTAATGATAACCTATTCACTTAGGATCTCACTTGGTGAAGTCCATAGGACTGAAAATGGATGAATGCAACAAGCATGTCTCTGTCACTAACAAATTCACAGTTATGGGTGACAACTCTACAATTCACTCGAAAGGCACTCTGGGAAATATGCTAATAAAGCTTTACACTAAGCAGTGTGTTAATTCAACACTGTTAAGTGTCTATACCGGTCCACACTTCTAGTGTTAATTTAACACTGGGGAATTTGCAGTGTGTAATAAAGCATTCAGAAAGGAATCAGAGGAATGCTGTACTGTAGTGTACAGTCATCTGGACAGCTATCTACTGTAAAGTTGCATTCCATATGTCCCCAACATGGCTATTGACTAACAACATGGCTCTATTTCTAATCAAAATGTCTGTGTCTTGTCTTGTTTACAATTATGAGGACATAATTTGCAGTTAAACGTAAGGTGACTGCTGTCTTTATGATGTTCTGTTAAAAGGCCTTGTAAAGGACAGCCGTTTTACAACTCTCAGAATCCCTTTTAAAATGTCCATTAAGCCCCATGGTGAACTCTGAAGATTTATCACATGCTGTCTGTCGCCAGCCAAGCCATGTGTTATAGGTTTGTTTATTTTGGCAGTTCGCTCTGTTTAAAATGTAACAGGCCATGTTTTGTGGCTACACTGTTTTGAGTGTGCTGTGTCGCCGGTAAAAGAGGCTGGTGAATTGGATATCAGTATGGTGTCTTGGGTTGCTGTCAAAACCATGCAGAAGCTCTCTCTCCTTCTCTATTTCTTTTTGTCTTAATATTATTTATCTCGCTCCCTTTCTTAGTCCTTGCTCTCTTTCTAAAAAAAACAGACATGCACAGTCATTCACACACACACGCTACAAAACCTGCATAGCTCTCAGCAGACCACCACCTGAACCTGGATGCTCCCACATCATCCCTTACTAGGAAAAGCTCCAAATAGCCTATGGTACATCAGAGCCTTGTCTGTAGCTGGCCTACGGTACATCAGAGCCCTGTCTGTAGCTGGCCTACGGTACATCAGAGCCTTGTCTGTATCTGGCCTACGGTACATCAGAGCCTTGTCTGTAGCTGGCGTACGGTACATCAGAGCCTTGTCTGTAGCTGGCCTACGGTACATCAGAGCCTTGTCTGTAGCTGGCCTACGGTACATCAGAGCCTTGTCTGTAGCTGGCCTACGGTACATCAGAGCCTTGTCTGTAGCTGGCCTACGGTACATCAGAGCCTTGTCTGTAGCTGGCCTACGGTACATCAGAGCCTTGTCTGTAGCTGGCTTACGGTACATCAGAGCCTTGTCTGTAGCTGGCTTACTGTACATCAGAGCCTTGTCTGTAGCTGTCCTACGGTACATCAGAGCCTTGTCTGTAGCTGGCCTATGGTACATCAGAGCCTTGTCTGTAGCTGGCCTACGGTACATCAGAGCCTTGTCTGTAGCTGGCCGACTCATCTGATTTATTTTTACAACGTCTTGCTCTGTTTGATAAAACTGTTTAGCAGTCAGAAACAGGGTCCCGAGAACTTTGGCCGGCCAGCCGTTGATGCTGCTGGAGAAAGGTCAGATGGGATCGGAGCTAAACACCTTGGCTTGCCCTCTAGTCTGCACTGTAAATCCTAGACTTAATGTCCACACTGGTACGTGTGTGTGCATGTCTGTGAAAAACAGAGAGAGAAAGAGAAGTGATCTCAATCCCACCAGTACCTCCAAGCCCTTTATCTAAGACGTTCCTATGAGGCTGAGTGTTACAGTAAGCTGGCATGGGTTAGGAGAGCAGATGGTACGGTTGGGATGCCCTGTGGTGGTGTAAGTACGTCAGGGCGGCTCTCCTCTCCTCTTTTCTCTGGTAAACCCGTCCTCCGCTCCCGCTCTCGCTCGCTGCGCTCGTCAAAAACTGCCAACTCAGCATTCTTTCCAAGCTGCCGCATTTTCATAGTCTTAAGAGCTTACATGGATGGCTGGCTTTCATTGCTGGCCTGGCCATCCGTTGGCCGCTGTGCGTGTGCGTGTGCGTGTGTGTGATTCAAATAAACCAAGAGGCCAGTGCCAAGAATATGATGCCCTTTCTTTCTCCCTGCTAGCTAAGGGGGCTGAAGGGAAGTGCAAGAAGGCAGTACAAGGAGGCAGTAGGGAGCAGACCTGGGTTCAAATCTTTTAAATACTTTGAGTGTTTGCTTTGCTTTTTTGGGACTTTTCTATTGGTTCTATTGCAACAGGCAAGCTCAATCAAGTATTTGAAATTATTTCCAATACTATTGAACCCAGGTCTGCTAGGGAGGCGATTGGGAGTCGGTCGGTAAGGGTTGATTGGAGGCAGTAAGGGTTGGTGAGTTGATTACAACAAGTGGTCAACACATTCCCCCTGTTCCTGTTCCTCTTAGAAAATATGTGATATTTTCTAACGCATCCGTGTGTCTAGTTAGGAATTACACATGTTGTCTTACTTTTAATACAATCACCGTGTTGGCACATTTAACACATGATATGTGTATATTTTTTAAAAACAGTGATTATTTTAAAAGTAACACATCATCCCTAACTAGACACACGGATGTGTACATTTTATTTATTTATTATCTGTACATGCAAAATATCCTTCTTGAAAGATGTCAAACATGTTAGTGCTAGTTAGATACACAGTTCAGTGAAACCTACTCAGACAATTTTGTACCTGAGATCAGACTTTTGTTGGCTATGGTAGCGATTTATACCTTGTTAGAGGCAAAAATGTACCTCTACTATAGACATTTAAACTGGTACAGCACTCCCAATCACGGGTGGCCAATAATAACTACCTGAAAGCTATGTCCCCACTAAGCCATGCCTCCAATATAATTTCCCAGTGTGCCTTGTCTTGTTGAGTGAATTGTAGAGTTACCACCCATAACAGTATGATGCCAGGACAACAACCTCTCCCTCAACGTGAGCAAGACAAAGGAGCAGATCGTTGACTACAGGAAAAGGTGGGCAGAGCATGCCCCCATTCACATTGATGGGCTGTGGAGTCAAGAGCCTCAAGTTCCTTGGTGTCCACATCACTAAAACTATCCTGGTCCAAACACACTAAGACAGTTGTGAAGAGGGCAAGACAATGCCTATTCCCCCTCAGGAGACTGCAAAGATTTGGCATGGGTCCTCAGATCCTCAAAAAGTTATACAGCTGCACCATCGATAGCATCCTGACTGGTTGCATCACCGCTTGGTATGGCAACTGTTCAGCATCCGCCCGCAAGGCGCTACAGCCCAGTACATCACTAGGGCTGAGCTTCCTGCCATCCAGGACCTCTATACCAGGCAGTGTCAGAGAAAGGCCCTAAAAATCGTCAAAGACTCCAGCCACCCAAGTCATAGACTGTTCTCTCTGCTACAGCACAGCAAGCGGTACCGGAGCGCTAGGTCTAGGACCAATTGGCTCCTTAACAGCTTATACCCCCAAGCCATAAGACTGGGAAGGTTGAACACCAGATGGGCTGCAGCATTCTGGATGAGTTGTAGGGGTTTAATGGCACAGGCAGGGAGCCCAGCCAACAGCGAGTTGCAGTAATCCAGACGGGAGATGACAAGTGCCTGGATTAGGACCTGTGCCGCTTCCTGTGTAAGGCAGGGTCGTACTCTCCGAATGTTGTAGAGCATGAACCTACAGGATCGGGTCACCGCCTTGATGTTAGCGGAGAACGACAGGGTGTTGTCCAGGGTCATTACATACTGTATCTCATAAGGCTTTATTTTGAGGGAGAGTTTAGCCTTATACATTGGCCTCAAACTCATGGTTTACAAGCCACATCAGGCCTGCAAGTGGGGTTGCAACATTTCAGTAACTTTCCCAAAATTTCCCAGGTTTTCCAGAATTCCTGCTTATTCCCTCCCATTTTCCAAGAAGTTCCCAACTGGGATTTCTGGAAATCCTGGGAAAGTCACCAGAATTTTGCAACCCTACCTGCAAGTCACATTATGCTGGCTTGCAGAGTGATGTGTAACTCCTATTGGAATCCCGCCAGTGCTAGGATATCCAACAGTTGGAATTTTTATTTAACCTCAGAATGACTGCCAGGGTTAAATATATTGTTCTTCTCCTCCGGAGTTTAACGGCGGTTGGCTTCCAATATGTTGCATTACCACCCCCAACTGGACTATAATATAAATCCATTATACTTTGTGATACAAAATGGAAAAAATATATACAAAATACATAATAACAATACAAAACCTATCTTCCAACTAGCCCTACACTCATTAAAAACCCACTACCCCATTCCACTACTTTGAGCCTATCTTAAATATATTGTGAGGAGACTACCTAAGCCATTTAAACTGAAACAACCATTTCAGTAATGGGTGCAAGAAAAAAATCTAACTAACTGATTGGATTAGTTTAGAAAAATTGATGTTATTTCTCTTTGTGTGGCATAAGATTAATCAATCAATGTAAATGCAAAGACACACAAAAAAAAAAATCGACCTGCAGTACAGCATGCTGGGAAATATGATAATGATTATGGTAAAAATATGCCTAACTAGCCTTACTTCTTGAAAACTTGTCTGAGAGAATAAATCAGGAATAAAATGTTGCCATGTCCTCTCCGCATTAGCCTCAAATGTTCACCTCATTCAGATAAAGAGTAAATGTACCTTGTTTCTTGTTTCGTATTCCTCCTGCTGCCTGGCTGAGGCTCAGTCCAGGCTGTCAGTTGTCACTTCACTTAACTTTTAATTGCAGGAATTGACTCAAAATGTGTTGAATCTTTTACACAAATCATGTTGTGTCAACACAGTGATTGTGTTTAAAGTAATGCAGCATGTGTCGTCCCTAACTAGACACACAGATGTGTTAAAGGAATAACATTATTATCCAAGAGTGTAAGATCTGCTCTCTCTCTCTCTCTCTCTCTCTCTCTCTCTCTCTCTCTCTCTCTGCTTAATTTCATCATTAATGGGTTTAGAATTAATTACACCTCATTAAGCCCCTGTTTTACTGGGCGCTTACAACATATTTAATCACTGTTTGGTTCCTGCTTGGCGTTGATTTAGTCAGATGCTCCTTTAGAATCACAGGGGTGCGAGCTGTGTGTCTGGAGGGTGTGTGAGTTTATTTGTACATGGTTTAATGACCAGCCATTGTGTGGTCTGGCCTCTTAGCAGTAGTCTTAGCTCTAGGGGGGTTCTCTGCTTGTGTTTACTGCTTTGACTGACTACTCTCTCTCAAATTCAATACACTGTAGAAGGGGTACTGTGAATTTGACAGTAGCTTACAGGCAGCTCGGTGGCTGGTAAAATTCTGTATTTCATATTACAGTACACCTTCTGTAATATAAATATGGGATCAAAGCAAGTACTGTGTAATGACTAAGTAAAATACCGTAAATGTACTGTATTATACTGTAAAATAAATAAATATGGATGCTACCGTAATGAATGGATGAATTAATTAAATTCATTGAGGAGAGGGTTTTGTATTTCACAGTAGTTTACTGTAATTACAAGGAATTGGTGCAAGTAGGTTGGCTGCTAGTTCTGGCTGTTTGCACATTAGTATGTAGTATTTTATATAACTTGCAATTCTAGAGGTTTTAACAAAGGCTTCCAAACTGGCAGCGACCACATGGCAAAACAGACCAAAAGGACATGGCAAAATGCTTAACCATTTAAGGTCAACTTATTCGTTTTTTCCTAAAATAATTAAAACATTAACATTTCAAATCAGTTAAAAATTCAAAATAATAAACTATTCAAACAATAGTTAATCAATCCAACTTAAGCTAAGAGAAATACAAACAACAAGAAAAATAAACAATTAGTCAGTCATGGTTGGTCTAGTGGAGTGGTTGACAGTGTGTTTGTATCTTTGTGTTGGGGGAGGGGAAGAGGTTTAAGGTCTAAGACTTGCTGCCACTCCAATCTGTCCACTATTCAAATTGATGGGGTAGTATAACCACATAGAAGTTAAATTGGTACAGCATTCTCACTCATGGGTCCAACAAATATAGCCTCTTACAAGGCACACCTCAAAATATGTTAATGAGCCAGAAACAACAATACCATACACCCACTAGTGGTCAAAAGGTTTTTGGCGCTCCAATGATACAGTACGGTACTGTATTCTGTGGGGTGGAATTACAGTACCATTCGAAATACAGCAATTATTTGCCCCGTCCCACAATGCACCATCATTAACACGATGCTGCAGTAAACAGTATTTTACTGTTGATAATACACCAAATTACCGTATAATTTACAGTTTTCCATTACAGTATATGCTTGGTATGAATGACAAGGTCAATGTTGCCAAAGCGAAGTGATGCACATAACAATTATGAAAATAACAGCGATAACAATAAGAATAGTAGCTATAATACTATAAAACTCCCTCTCTATGTGCCTCTCCCTCCCTCCCTCTTCCTGTCCCTCTCCCCTCTTCATTTCTCCTGCCCACTGTAGGCTATGCTTGGAGGCGCGGGACCCCTACTGTGGCTGGGACAGGAAACAGAGACGCTGCACCACTCTAGAGGACAGCTCCAACATGAGCCAGTGGAGTCAGAATATCACTGTGTGTCCGGTAAGAGCCATCAGGGATCCACAGTTTCCCTCTCCCACCTCTGCTCCTCATTGCATCTGTTGTCACTTGTACACAATCCCCCATAACCCCATGGGGCTGCCTGCCACATGGCAACACGGCTGGCTGACACCCTGGAATACCTCCTCCCTGTCTGGTCTCTCCTGGGGACTGGCCCTACAGTAGTCTGACACTTTAACAGTTTTGTCCTATGTCAACTCTCCTCAGGGACCCTTTTCCTAGTGTGACATTGTTACAGTTTGTCCAGGTCGCTCTCGCAAAATAGTTGTTTAACCTCAAGGGTCTTTCCTGGTTGTTGTCATACAGTACCACATGATTAATGATGGCATCCTGTCCGTTCCAGTCCCTGACACTCTAGTCTCTCTCTGCCCTGTCTGGCTTTTTAGCTAAGGAACCAGACCACCAATGGCGGCTTTGGACTCTGGGCGGCGTGGCAACCATGCAGCAATGACGATGGCGACGGCACCAGCGCCTGTCTGTGTCGCTCCAGGGCGTGTGACAATCCCTCCGCTCGCTGTGGTGGGAGGAACTGTGAGGGGCCCACCATCGAAGTCTCGAACTGCTCCAGGTATGTAGAACCACCAACCAACCAACCACCTATCTCACTCACTGTGCATCCCAAATGGCACCCAATATAGTGCACTACTTAGTCTCTCTGTCCATACTAGCATACTACATAGTATGGAGCAATGTATTGGGCATGCATTCTAAGTAGTATGCTTAGAATGCTAGTGTGGATATTGGAAATCTGCTCTGGTCAAAAGTAGTGCACTATGGAGAATAGGGTGTTATTTGAGACGCAGCCTCAGACATGTAGCATTGTACTCAGGCTGTGACAAAATTAGCATTCTGACAGGATAAGAGGTATGTCTACAAACCAGGGTTTTGATTAAATAATGTAGGTGACATCCAAGTTTCCCCTCAGAGGTCTTGTACCGTCTGTGTCTGAGGAAATTGGCCAATCACCATTACTGTGAGAGAACAGCTCTCAGATACAAAGTGCTGGCTCCTTCATGCACAGGGTAGCTATATATGTGTGTGTGTGTGTGTGTGTGTGTGTGTGTGTGTGTGTGTGTGTGTGTGTGTGTGTGTGTGTGTGTGTGTGTGTGTGTGTGTGTGTGTGTGTGTGTGTGTGTGTGTGTGTGTGTGTGTGTGTGTGTGTGTGTAACCATTACAGCTCAGATACAAAGTGGCGGAGCTCCTTTCATAGCTATGCCAGATTAAACCCAGGTCCAATTATCATTACTGTGAGAGAACTGCTCAGATACAAATTGATACAAACTGTGTGTGGGTATGTTTTTGTGTGTATGTGTGTGGCGGTCCTCCTTTCATAGCTATGCCAGATTAAACCCAGGGTGGGAAAATTGAATTGTGTTTTAGCCAGAAGTCGCTATAAAAAAATATATAATCATGTTTTATTGTCACATACACTGGATAGGTGCAGTGAAATGTGTTGTTTTACAGGTCAGCCATAGTAGTATGATAGGTGCAGTTAAATGTGTTGTTTTACAGGGTCAACCATAGTAGTATGATAGGTGCAGTGAAATGTGTTGTTTTACAGGGTCAACCATAGTAGTATGATAGGTGCAGTGAAATGTGTTGTTTTACAGGGTCAATCATAGTAGTATGATAGGTGCAGTGAAATGTGTTGTTTTACAGGGTCAACCATGGTAATATGATAGGTGCAGTGAAATTTGTTGTTTTACAGGGTCAACCATAGTAGTATGATAGGTGCAGTGAAATGTGTTGTTTTACAGGGTCAACCATGGTAGTATGATAGGTGCAGTGAAATGTGTTGTTTTACAGGGTCAACCATAGTAGTATGATAGGTGCAGTGAAATGTGTTGTTTTACAGGGTCAACCATGGTAGTATGATAGGTGCAGTGAAATGTGTTGTTTTACAGGGTCAACCATAGTAGTATGATAGGTGCAGTGAAATGTGTTGTTTTACAGGGTCAGCCATAGTAGTATGATAGGTGCAGTGAAATGTGTTGTTTTACAGGGTCAACCATGGTAATATGATAGGTGCAGTGAAATTTGTTGTTTTACAGGGTCAACCATAGTAGTATGATAGGTGCAGTGAAATGTGTTGTTTTACAGGGTCAACCATGGTAGTATGATAGGTGCAGTGAAATGTGTTGTTTTACAGGGTCAACCATAGTAGTATGATAGGTGCAGTGAAATGTGTTGTTTTACAGGGTCAACCATGGTAGTATGATAGGTGCAGTGAAATGTGTTGTTTTACAGGGTCAACCATAGTAGTATGATAGGTGCAGTGAAATGTGTTGTTTTACAGGGTCAGCCATAGTAGTATGATAGGTGCAGTGAAATTTATTATTTTACATGGTCAGCCATAGTAGTATGATAGGTGCAGTGAAATGTGTTGTTTTACAGGGTCAGCCATAGTAGTATGATAGGTGCAGTGAAATGTGTTGTTTTACAGGGTCAACCATGGTAGTATGATAGGTGCAGTGAAATGTGTTGTTTTACAGGGTCAACCATAGTAGTATGATAGGTGCAGTGAAATGTGTTGTTTTACAGGGTCAGCCATAGTAGTATGATAGGTGCAGTGAAATGTGTTGTTTTACAGGGTCAGCCATAGTAGTATGATAGGTGCAGTGAAATGTGTTGTTTTACAGGGTCAGCCATAGTAGTATGATAGGTGCAGTGAAATGTGTTGTTTTACAGGGTCAGCCATAGTAGTATGATAGGTGCAGTGAAATGTGTTGTTTTACAGGGTCAGCCATGGTAGTATGATAGGTGCAGTGTAATGTGTTGTTTTACAGGGTCAGCCATAGTAATGCGGCGCTCCTGGAGCAAAGGGAACATCAACAGATTTTTCACCTGTCGGATCGGGGACTCAAACCAGCAACCTTCTGGTTACTGGCCCAACAAATAACTTTAGCAGATTGAAGGAATGTGTTTCTGGTGTCAAATTTAGCTCCTGAGCAAGTGGTTCCTCGTCCCTCTCATAATCATAAATTATGGCCATGATCGTAAATGTGTTGGTTGCTTGATACAGTGAGGGGAAAAAAGTATTTGATTCCCTGCTGATTTTGTACGTTTGCCCACTGACAAAGACACGATCAGTCTATTATTTTAATGGTAGGTTAATTTGAACAGTGAGAGACAGAATAACAACAAAAAAATCCAGAAAAATGCATGTAAAAAATGTTATGAATTGATTTGCATTTTAATGAGGTAAATAAGTATTTGACCCCTCTGCAAAACATGACTTAGTACTTGGTGGCAAAACCCTTGTTGGCAATCACAGAGGTCAGATGTTTCTTGTAGTTGGCCACCAGGTTTGCACACATCTCAGGAGGGATTTTATCCCACTCCTCTTTGCAGATCTTCTCCAAGTCATTAAGGTTTCGAGGCTGACGTTTGGCAACTCGAACCTTCAGCTCCCTCCACAGATTTTCTATGGGATTAAGGTCTGGAGACTGGCTAGGCCACTCCAGGACCTTAATGTGCTTCTTCTTGAGCCACTCCTTTGTTGCCTTGGCCGGGTGTTTTGGGTCATTTTCATGCTGGAATACCCATCCACAACCCATTTTCAATGCCCTGGCTGAGGGAAGGAGGTTCTCACCCAAGATTTGACGGTACATGACCCCGTCCATCGTCCCTTTGATGCGGTGAAGTTGTCCTGTTCCCTTAGCAGAAAAACACCCCCAAAGCATAATGTTTCCACCTCCATGTTTGACGGTGGGGATGGTGTTCTTGGGGTCATAGGCAGCATTCCTCCTCCTCCAAACACGGCGAGTTGAGTTGATGGCAAAGAGCTCGATTTTGGTCTCATCTGACCACTTTCACCCAGTTCTCCTCTGAATCATTCAGATGTTCATTGGCAAACTTCAGACGGGCCTGTATATGTGCTTTCTTGAGCAGGGGGACCTTGCGGGCGATTCAGGATTTCAGTCCTTCACGGCGTAGTGTGTTACCAATTGTTTTCTTGGTGACTATGATCCCAGCTGCCTTGAGATCACGCTCAAGGTCCTAAACGATATTATAAACGCGATCGATAAAAGACAGTACTGCGCAGCCATCATCATCGACCTGGCCAAGGCTTTCGACTCTGTCAACCACTGCATTCTTATTAGCAGACTAAATAGCCTTGGTTTCTCTAATGACTGCCTCGCCTGGTTCACCAGCTACTTCTCAGATAGAGTTCAATGTGTCAAATCGGAGGGCCTGTTGTCTGGACCTCTGGCCGTCTCTATGGGCGTGCCACAGGGTTCAATTCTCGGGCCGACTCTATTCTCTGTGTATATCAATGATGTCGCTCTTGCTGCTGGTGACGCTCGGATCCACCTCTATGTGGACGACACCATTTTGTATACATCTGGTCCTTCATTGGACACTGTGTTAACAAACCTCCAAACGAGCTTCAATGCCATACAACACTCCTTCCGTAGCCTCCAACTGCTCTTAAACACTAGTAAAACTAAATGTATGCTCTTCAACCGAACGCTGCTTGCACCCGCCCACCCGACTAGAATCACTACTCTCAGCGGGTCTGACCTAGAGTATGTGGACAACTACAAATACCTAGGTGTCTGGTTAGACTGTAAACTCTCCTTCCAGACTCACATTAAGCATCTCCAATCAAAAGTTAGATCTAGAATCGGCTTCCTATTTCGCAACAAAGCCTCCGTCACTCATGCTGCCAAACATGCCCTCGTAAAACTGACTATCTTACCGATCCTTGACTTCGACGATGTCATTTACAAAATAGCCTCCAACACCCTACTCAGCAAATTGGATGTAGTCTATCACAGTGCAATCCGTTTTGTCACCAAAGCCCCATATACTACCCACCGTTGTGACCTGTACGCTCTTGTTGGCTGGCCCTCACTTCATATTCGTCGCCAAACCCACTGGCTCCAGGTCATCTATAAATCACTGCTAGGCAAATCCCCGTCTTATCTTAGCTCACTGGTCACCATAGCAACACCCACCCGTAGTCTGCGCTCCAGCAGGTATATCTCACTGGTCATCCCCAAAGCCAACACCTCCTTTGGCCGCCATTCCTTCCAGTTCTCTGCTGCCAATGACTGGAACGAACTGCAAAAATCTCTGAAGCTGGAGACTCTTATCTCCCTCACTAACTTTAAGCGTCAGTTGTCAGAGCAGCTTACCGATCACTGCACCTGTACACAGCCTTTCTGAAATTAGCCCACCCAACTACCTCATCCCTATATTGTTATTTATTTTGCTAATTTGCACCCCAGTATCTCTATTTGCACATCATCTTTTGCACATCTATCATTACAGTATTATACGAAATTGTAACTATTTTGCACTATAGCCTATTTATTACCTTACCTCCATAACTTACTACATTCGCACACACTGTATATTATATTTATACTGTTGTAATTTTTACTTTATGTTTTGTTTACCCCATATGTAACTCTGTGTTGTTGTTTTTATCGCACTGCTTTGCTTTATCTTGGCCAGGGCGCAGTTGCAAATGAGAACTTGTTGTCAACTGGCCTACCTGGTCAAATAAAGGTGAAATAAAAAATAAATAAAAGATAATTGACAAGATTCTCCCGTGTAGTTTCCTCACCGTTCTCATGATCATTGCAACTCCACAAGGTGAGATCTTGCATGGAGCCCCAGGCCGAGGGAGATTGACAGTTATTTTGTGTTTCTTCTATTTGCGAATAATCGCACCAAGCTGCTTGGCGATGGTCTTGTAGCCCATTCCAGCCTTGTGTAGGTCTACAATCTTGTCCCTGACATCCTTGGAGAGCTCTTTGGTCTTGGCCATGGTGGAGAGTTTGGAATCTGATTGATTGATTGCTTCTGTGGACAGGTGTCTTTTAATACGGGTAACAAACTGAGATTAGGAGCACTCCCTTTAAGAGTGTGCTCCTAATCTCAGCTCGTTACCTGTATAAAAGACACATGGGAGCCATAAATCTTTCTGATTGAGAGGGGGTCAAATACTTATTTCCCTCATTAAAATGCAAATCAATTTATAAAATTTTTGACATGCATTTTTCTGGATTTTTTTGTTGTTATTCTGTCTCTCACTGTTCAAATAAACCTACCATTAAAAGTATAGACTGATCATTTCTTTGTCAGTGGGCAAACGTACAAAATCAGCAGGGGATCAAATACTTTTTTCCCTCACTGTAGAACGTTTCTTACATTTTTTGGTAAAAAACTAATCTGAAATTAGTATTGGCATGTTTGGGATTCTTTAAACCTTCTTTAATAACATCACATTTCTGTTGCCACAGAAACGGAGGATGGACACCATGGTCGTCATGGGGACAATGCAGCACCACCTGTGGAACGGGGTTTGAGATGCGCCAGCGCTCCTGCAACAACCCGTCGCCCCGACATGGGGGACGTGTGTGTGTGGGCCCGGTCAGGGACGAGAGGTGAGAGGAGATGGAAGGTCTATTTGAGAGAGAGCTATGTGAACAAACTTTGGTTTTGTCATACTTTTATCAAATGTCATTTCTTTGGCAAATAATTTAACAGTGTTTGTTTGACTCAAAAGAGCAAAACTCTTAAACATTTACGGTTGCCATTTATGAAGGAATGACCTTTATGATTCATTTATGAGACATGACGTGCACTTTTCAGTAACAGTATCTGTCCTATGTATCTTTTGGGGGATGACGGTCTTAGGTAAATGTCAGCCCTCTTACACACGCCAGTGCCTCTCATGTGAGGCAGAAGACACATTTCAATTTCTCACAAAATGGACAACAAAGTTCCTCTCCTCTCCTCTCCTCTCCTCTCCTCTCCTCTCCTCTCCTCTCCTCTCCACTTCTCTCTAGGTTCTGTAACGAGGGTGTGTCGTGTCCCCAGCCTATCTTTTGGTCCCTGTGGGGTGCCTGGGCTAAGTGCAGTGCAGAGTGTGGAGGAGGGGTCCACTCCAGGGTCAGGAGCTGTGAGAACGGGAACAGCTGCCCAGGTTGCGCACTGGTATGCAGAAATCCATGCCATACTTACCTCCCCTTTCATACAAGACTCCTTTCTCTCCGTGGGATGTGTGAAGTTAGGGTTCAGTTCAGTTTTGACTGGTTTCAGTTGACTGAAATTCAGTTTGAGCTGAAAGGCTTTCCCTCCTCTCCCCTTCCTCTCACTCAAGTTGGGCTTCCTACAGTGGACTCTCAAACATGCTCAAAGCTGAGGATTTAATTACTTTCATTATGAGTCCAATTAAAGTGTTATGAAGCAAATAACTCTCAGTAAAACATTTAGAAAAAAACATATTTTATAATAATTACCTCACTTTCTCTCTGTCTCTCCGTCTCCCTCTCCCCCCACCTCCTATCCCTCTCCCCCCTTTCCAGGAGTACAAGGCGTGTAACCTGGAGGCGTGTCCAGAGGTGAAGAGGAACACCCCCTGGACCCCATGGATGCCTGTCAACGTGACGCAGGGCGGAGCCCGCCAAGAGCAGAGGATGCGCTATATGTGCCGCGCCCAGCTGGCAGACCCCCACGAGCTGCAGATTGGACGACGCAAAGTAGAGACCCGCTTCTGCCCCAACGACGGCACGGCCACCTGCGAGACCGACAGTGAGTGCTTGTCAATCATAGCGGCTTTGGGTGTTGCTAGCTAAGTTGTTGGTGTGGCTTTACACCAAGTGAGGCATGGATGAAAATAATACACCTGTCCAACACCAATCATTTTTCTTCGGCTCTTCTCAAAGCATTATGAGGATAAACTGCCCAAACATAGTCACCGTACTGTATCTTCCCCCTGGGTGATCAGACTGATCACTAGAAATACAGTGGGGGAAAAAAGTATTTAGTCAGCCACCAATTGTGCAAGTTCTCCCACTTAAAAAGATGCGAGAGGCCTGTAATTTTCATCATAGGTACACGTCAACTATGACAGACAAAATGAGGAGAAAAAAAATCCAGAAAATCACATTGTAGGATTTTTAATGAATTTATTTGCAAATTATGGTGGAAAATAAGTATTTGGTCAATAACAAAAGTTTCTCAATACTTTGTTATGTACCCATTGTTGGCAATGACACAGGTCAAACGTTTTCTGTAAGTCTTCACAAGGTTTTCACACACTATTGCTGGTATTTTGGCCCATTCCTCCATGCAGATCTCCTCTAGAGCAGTGATGTTTTGGGGCTGTCGCTGGGCAACACAGACTTTCAACTCCCTCCAAAGATGTTCTATGGGGTTGAGGTCTGGAGACTGGCTAGGCCACTCCAGGACCTTGAAATGCTTCTTACGAAGCCACTCCTTCGTTGCCCGGGTGGTGTGTTTGGGATCATTGTCATGCTGAAAGACCCAGCCACGTTTCATCTTCAATGCCCTTGCTGATGGAAGGAGGTTTTCACTCAAAATCTCACGATACATGGCCCCATTCATTCTTTCCTTTACACGGATCAGTCGTCCTGGTCCCTTTGCAGAAAAACAGCCCCAAAGCATGATGTTTCCACCCCCATGCTTCACAGTAGGTATGGTGTTCTTTGGATGCAACTCAGCATTCTTTGTCCTCCAAACACGACGAGTTGAGTTTTTACCAAAAAGTTCTATTTTGGTTTCATCTGACCATATGACATTCTCCCAATCCTCTTCTGGATCATCCAAATGCACTCTAGCAAACTTCAGACGGGCCTGGACATGTACTGGCTTAAGCAGGGGACACGTCTGGCACTGCAGGATTTGAGTCCCTGGCGGCGTAGTGTGTTACTGATGGTAGGCTTTGTTACTTTGGTCCCAGCTCTCTAAAGGTCATTCACTAGGTCCCCCCGTGTGGTTCTGGGATTTTTGCTCACCGTTCTTGTGATCATTTTGACCCCACGGGGTGAGATCTTGCGTGGAGCCCCAGATCGAGGGAGATTATCAGTGGTCTTGTATGTCTTCCATTTCCTAATAATTGCTCCCACAGTTGATTTATTCAAACCAAGCTGCTTATCTATTGCAGATTCAGTCTTCCCAGCCTGGTGCAGGTCTACAATTTTGTTTCTGGTGTCCTTTGACAGCTCTTTGGTCTTGGCCATAGTGGAGTTTGGAGTGTGACTGTTTGAGGTTGTGGACAGGTGTCTTTTATACTGATAACAAGTTCAAACAGGTGCCATTAATACAGGTAACGAGTGGAGGACAGAGGAGCCTCTTAAAGAAGAAGTTACAGGTCTGTGAGAGCCAGAAATATTGCTTGTTTGTAGGTGACCAAATACTTATTTTCCACCATAATTTGCAAATAAATTCATAAAAAATCCTACAATGTGATTTTCTGGATTTTTTTCTTCTCAATTTGTCTGTCATAGTTGACGTGTACCTATGATGAAAATTACAGGCCTCTCTCATCTTTTTAAGTGGGAGAACTTGCACAATTGGTGGCTGACTAAATACTTTTTTCCCCTACTGTATCACTCCAGTGTTAATACTAAATTGTAATTATTTTGCACTATGGCCTATTTATTACCTTACCTCCATAACTTAGAACATTTGCACACACTGTATATAGATTTTATATTGTGTTATTGACTGTACGATTTGTTTATTCCATATGTAACTCTGTGTTGTTGTTGTTTTTATCGCACTGCTTTGCTTTATCTTGGCCAGGTCGCAGTTGTAAATGAGAACTCTCAACTGGCTTACCTGGTTAAATAAAGGTGAAATAAAATAAATATATATTTTTTAATGTTCTCCGTCCTCTGTCTGCATCGATTAACTGTAGCTGGCTGACAGTGACCAGGCTGGCCAGGGTAGGCAGGGTAGCCATGTTCAGGTGTCTTGTTATTAAGACACATGACAGTTCACATGTTCCAGAAGCCATTTCTGCCAAAAAACGCATTTTGATTTTTAAGAAAAGCTAACATTCAAATGGCACTCCTGTGAAGAAGTAAAGCGCCTAGTTTCCTGAAATGAGTCACATATACTGTTTAGGCTTTCAACTGACAAGTTTACACCTTCACTATTACAGTGGAATGTTTTGTCCAGGAAGTTGTCTAAAAAATATGGAATTTGTTGTTGCCTAATTGTTTTTTGGTAGGTTTCTACACTACTTTCCTTCCATCTATAGCATTTCTTAATATTCTGCAGTCCCTTTGTCTTTGATGCCTCATGATTGAGTATTGCTCTGTTCAGGTAGACTGTGATCTTATTGTGGTCTGATAGGGCTGTCAGTGGACTGACTGTGAACGCTCTGAGAGACTCTGGGTTGAGGTCAGTGATAAAGTAATCTACGGTACTACTGGCAAGGGATGAGCTGTAGGTGTACCTACCGTAAGAGTCCCCTCGAAGCCTACCATTGACTATGTACAGACCCAGCATGCGACAGAGCTGCAGCAGTTGTGACCCATTTTTGTTGGTTGTTTTGGCGTAGTTGTGTCTAGGGGGGCATATTTGGGAGGCAATACTGTCACCTCCAGGTAGGTGTTTGTCCCCCTGTGTGCTGAGAGTGTCAGATTCTTGTCAAGTTCTGGCATTTAGGTCGCCACAGACTAGTACCTGTCCCTGGGCCTGGAAATGGTTGATCTCCCCCTCTAGGATGGAGTGTCACGGTTTCGGCCGAGGCTGCCTCTCTTCCTTGCTCGGGCAGGCTTCGGCGTTTGTCGTCTCCGGAATACTAGCTGCCACCGTTGTATGTTTCTATGTTCGTTTGCTTTTGTCTGATTGTTGTACACCTGTTATCGTTTAGTGTAATTAGTGTCCTATAAGTTCTCGTTGTGTTTGTCTAGTGTTTGTGTGTGATTGTTTTACTGTCGTGCCGGTAGGCTGGATTTCTACTGTTTGCTCGGTTGAGCTATATTCTCCATTGTTTGGAGTGTTTTTGTTGCACCTGTTAGTGCGCCCGTTATTTTCGCCTACGTGCGGAGTCTCGCCTCAGGGCGTTTGTTTGTGATTGTTTTCGTGTGCATCAACTAAAGTCTGTTGGACTAACGTTCTGCGTCCTGCGCCTGATTCCACCACCACACCCACCTACATCTACCTTGACATGGAGAAGCTGTCATCGTTAAAGTATGGGGATTCTAGTGGGGGGATATAGGTAGCACACATGAGGACATTTTTCTCTGTTGAGATAATTTCATTATTAATTTCTAGTCAGATGTAAAATGTTCCTGTTTTGACTAATTTAATAGAGTGAGTTAGGTCTGCTCTATACCAAATTAGCATACTCTCTGAGTCCCTTCCCTGTTTCACAGCTGGTAGTTTGGTGGATGGGACTACCAGCTCTCTGCAACCTAGAGGGCAACCAGTGGGTCCGTTTCCTCTATACAATGTTTCTTGTAGGATGACAATGACTGTATTTCTGATTTATTTGGTGAAGTCCAGGTTCCTGCTCTTTAGGCCAAGGGCAGATGACCTCAGGCCTTGGATATTCCAGGATGAGATAGTGAAGGCTTTCTGTTCCATAAAGTGTCCAATGTTGTTAGTCATGTGGTTTGGCCTCAGACCAGTAAGTGTGAGCAGAGCCTGGTGAGCATCTGGTACATGCCATTGGCTTGGGCTAGTGTAAGAGTGGGGGTTGGGCCTGTTTGCCTGCTCACGGCCTGGGTATATGTGTGACTATCATGTTGAGAACCTCTTTGGGGGAGTGGGGGGCTTGGGGTGGGTAGGAGGGGCATAGGTCTGATCTGAGGGGGCCTAAATGGGGTGTGGGCATGGTTGACTTGGGGGGGTGTTGTTTGGTTGGGGTGGGGGTGTGGATGTGGCTGGTGGTGCTGTGGTCTGGATGTAGGTCCTCTCTGAGGTCTGGGAGAGTGTCTCGCTGGTCAGGGCGGGATGTCTGTTGATCTGTTGCTCCTGTGTGAGGTGTTGGGTCTGCGGTTGAGGGCGATATCCTTTAGGGTCCGGGCGAAGGTGGGCACTGCTGCCTTGTATAGGTGGACCTGGTCGTAAAGGCTGTTCAAGTCTAGGGTGGAGTGGTGGGCCAGGTAGACATTTGGTTTTGAGGCACAGTCATGGGAAATACTTGCGTTTACCCACTGTATATATGTATGTATGGTAGCAGGGTGGAAGTATTTTCGTGGTAGCAGGGTAGAGATAACCACTTGTGCATTGGGGAAAGTAGAAGAAGCTTTTTCAATCACTCCCTTGAGTGCTGTGGCCACACTTTCCTGCCATGTTCTCAGGTCGTTTGTGCCTGTGTGTATTATTATGTGGCTGGGTGACCCTAGTTGGTCCTCAGACAGAATGTCTAGGACGCGCTGGGTGTTTGGACACCAGAGTTTAGACACTGTGTGTTTGGGATAAAAAATGTTTTCTTGTATATATATCCCGTTTGAGTCCATAAGGAGGACAATCTGTGGTTTGTGTATGTCCTCAGTGGGTGTGGGGGGGTTGTCAGGAGGGCTATCAGGGTGGCTGACAGGGGGGTGCTCAGAGGGGGTGTCTGTCCTGCTGTGATGTTGAGGCTATGGTCAGGGTCTATGGCGGACTGTTCTGCTGTGGTGTTGAGACTTTGGTCAGGGTCTGAGGGTGGGCTGTTCTGCTGGCTTCTCTGCAGGGGTGGACAGCTCTCTAATAGGTTGTTCTCTGTCACACGTCATCGTTCTCACCTTCTCCTCCAGCACTCTGATCCTCTCCTCTAGTGCTCTGTTCTTCTCCTACTCCTGCTCTTTCTCCTGTTGATGTTGTCTCACCACAGTCCAGAGTGCAGTCAAGTCTCTCTCCAACTCCAGCTCTCTAGGTCTGGTTGAGGGGGTATTGTTGAGCTGGACTATTTTTTGTACTGACTGGAGTGTGTTCACCTGCTGTTCCAGCTCCACCAGCCTTACCTCCAGCTGGGTGAATGTATCCTTCATTTCAATGAGGGATTAGTACTCTGTGCTGGGAGGTTGACTTTCCACTTGGGATACTCGTCTGTGGGGTTGTATAATGAAGAGGTCTGGTCTGACACGCTTGGGGTGGGGGTATCTTTTTCAAGAGAGAGCTTATCCTGCTGAGCTATCTCTTTGATTATGTGAAAGTCCAGCTGAAACTGTTTGGGGTTGCCCTGTACCATTACTGTTCCAGATTTGTACAGATTTACATTGGCTGACTCAGAGTCCTCTTTGTCTAGTATCCTGAGTTTTAACAGAGGGGTAGTGTGTTAATATAGCACTGCGCCATGCCAGGTGATAGTCTGTGTGGAAAATTAAGTTGCTTATGTTCCCATTTTTATATTACTCAACAAAAAGTGTCTCTTGATTTTCCACAAGGAGCTTCTTTTTGTACTCTTTTCGTGCCTTGTCATTTTTTACATCCAGCGGATACTGTATTGTAATGACCTCTGAGCAGCGGGAGGGGGCTTCAAAGGCCTCTGCATTTGGGTGGGGTAGAATGTGGAACTCTCCTGCCATTGTTGGGCTCAAGGGCTTTGACACCTCTCACTTCACACCTCAGTGCTAATTGATGTTGCAGTCAGATATGTACTGTCCTAGCAAGCTTGGTAGTCTTAACTTAGCATTCAGTCATTATAAAGTAAAATATATCATTGTAATGTATTTTTCTTCTTGGCTTTAAAAGTAGCTTCAGACTAAACATGACCTACTCAGTTCCAGGTTGGATGGTGTTTTCAGGTTTCTGTTGTTTGTTTGCCAGAGTATTTACTGTATAACTTGGAAATAAGAATCTTTGGTAGTAGGAATCCTTCCAGGTAATTTTGTCCAAAATCAGGTTGTAGGTTTGGAGTTTTTATTTGGAGTGAAGGTTATGTTGTGGAGGGTAGTATCCTGTATATGTCCTTGCCGAAAATCCAAGTATATCTAACTCTAAATCTATCTTTTTGTAAAAACATGCTGAAAAATGCCAGAGCTCATCTGCTCTCGCTCTCTCTCTCTCTCTCTCTCTCTCTCTCTCTCTCTCTCTCTCTCTCTCTCTCTCAATTATAATATATATAATATAATATAATATATATAATATAATAATAATATAATAATTCAATTCAATTTCAATTTCAATTTAAGGGCTTTATTGGCATGGGAAATGTGTGTTAACATTGCCAAAGCAAGTGAAGTAGATAGTAAACAAAAGTGAAATAAACAATAAATATTAACAGTAAACATTACACTCAGAAGTTTCAAAATAATAAAGACATTTCAAATGTCATATTATGTATATATACAGTGTTGTAACAATGTGCAAATAGTTAAAGTACAAATGGGAAAATAAATAAACATAAATATGGGTTGTATTTACAATGGTGTTTGTTCTTCACTGGTTGCCCTTTTCTTGTGGCAACAGGTCACAAATCTTGCAGCTGTGATGGCACAATGTGGTTTTTCACCCAGTAGATAAGGGAGTTTATCAAAATTGGGTTTGTTTTCGAATTCTTTGTGGATCGCTGTAATCTGAGGGAAATATGTGTCTCTAATATGGTCATACATTTGGCAGGAGGTTAGGAAGTGCAGCTCAGTTTCCACCTCATTTTGTGGGCAGTGTGCACATAGCCTGTCTTCTCTTGAGAGCCAGGTCTGCCTACGGCGGCCTTTCTCAATAGCAAGGCTATGCTCACTGAGTCTGTACATAGTCAAAGCTCTTTTCTGGATTTTGATAATTAGCGGGTATTGGCCTAATTCTGCTCTGCATGCATTATTTGGTGTTTTACGTTGTACACGGAGGATGTTTTTGCAGAATTCTGCATGCAGAGTCTCAATTTGGTGTTTGTCACATTTTGTGAATTCTTGGTTGGTGAGCGGACCCCAGACCTCAGAACCATAAAGGGCAATGGGTTCTATAACTGATTCAAGTATTTTTAACCAGATCCTAATTGGTATGTCAAATTTTATGTTCCTTTTGATGGCATAGAAGGCCCTTCTTGCCTTGTCTCTCAGATCGTTCACAGCTTTGTGGAAGTTACCTGTGGCGCTGATGTTTAGGCCGAGGTATGTATAGTTTTTTGTGTGCTCTAGGGCAACGGTGTCTAGATGGAATTTGTATTTGTGGTCCTGGCAACTGGACCTTTTTTGGAACACCATTATTTTTGTCTTACAGAGATTTACTGTCAGGGCCCAGGTCTGACAGAATCTGTGCAGAAGATCTAGGTGCTGCTGTAGGCCCTCCTTGGTTGGTGACAGAAGCACTCTCTCTGTCTCTCTCTCTGGTCATGTGGCTCTGTCTGCTGCATATACATGTATATTCAGTCAGCGACGTCACTGCAAAACACTAAAACACTGCCCAACATGGTGTCACAGTCTAGCCAGACTAAGACCAGAGCTGACTTGAGTAATGGCACAGATATGAATAAAGTACTTCCTCAGCACAGAGAGGAGATTATTTCTCAGTTGTATGACTCAGCATGGAGGCAGGATTGAAGAACCTGAATAGCTTGGGAATGGACCAGGGTGGGTATGGGAGTGTGTTTCAGTCTAAAGAGAGCCTGGTTGCAATTGGTTCCCTGGCCTGGTCTCAATGACCTGTCCCCTGTATGTGTGAGCTATTACATAGACATATATGACATACACTGCTACTGTAGTACTCTATGACCTGTGTAATGTAGAAGTACAAGTGATCCAGTGTATTGAGTAGACCATTAACCTGTGTATTAACCCTTTCCTTTAGCTCTAGTGGAGGACCTCCTGAGGACCCCTGTGGTACGAGTGGTGGGCTCCGGCTGGTCGTCATGGGAGACGTGGTCCGCCTGCTCCCAAGACTGTGCCAAGGGGTACCGTACCCGCAAGCGCACCTGTGCCACCCCAGAGGGCAAGGTTGCCCCTCCAGCCTGCAGGGGTTCACCAGTAGAGTACCAGGACTGCAACTCTCAGGCCTGCCCAGGTAAAGGGGAAAAGAACATGCGCACACTCACAAACACACTGTTATGCACTGTTACGTATTGGGACAGTCTTCAGTCTGGCAGGTATACACGTATACACGTACACACGTACACACGTACACACGTACACACGTACACACGTACACACGTACACACACACACACACACACACACACACCACACACCACACACCACACACCACACACCACACACCACACACCACACACACCACACACACCACACACATACACACACAGCTCCCATAACTACAGTACCAGTCAAAAGTTTGGACACACCTACTCATTCAAGGGTTTTTCTTTATTTTTACTATTTTCTACATTGTAGAATAATAGTGAAGACATCAAAACTATGAAATAACACATATGGAATCATGTAGTAACCAAAAAAGTGTTAAACAAATCAAAATATATTTTAGATTTTAGATTCTTCAAAGTAGCCACCCTTTGCCTTGATGACAGCTTTGCACACTCTTGGCATTCTCTCAACCAGCTTCACCTGGAATGCTTCTCCAACAGTCTTGAAGGAATTCCCACATACAGTGAAAGTATTCACCCCCGTGGCATTTTTCCTATTTTGTTGCCTTACAACCTGGAATTAAAATAGATTTTTTGGGGGGTTGTATCATTTGATTTACACAACATGCCTACCACTTTGAAGATGCAAAATATTTTTTATTGTGAAACAAACAAGAAAAAGAAACTTGAGCGTGCATAACTATTCACCCCCCCCCCCCCCCCCCTCCCAAAGTCATACTTTGTAGAGCCACATTCTGTAGCAATTACAGCTGCAAGTCTCTTGGGGTATGTCTCTATAAGGTGGCACATCTAGCCACTGGGAATTTATCCCATTCTACAAGGCAAAACTGCTCCAGCTCCTTCAAGTTGGATGGGTTCTGCTGGTATACAGCAATATTTAAGTCATACCACATATTCTCAATTGGATTGAGGTCTGGGCTTTGACTAGGCCATTCCAAGACATTTAAATGTTTCCCCTTCAACCACTCGAGTCTTGCTTTAGCAATATGCTTAGGGTCATTGTCCTGCTGGAAGGTGAACCTCTGTCCCAGTCTCAAATCTCTGGAAGACGGCAACAGGTTTCCCTCAAGAATTTCCCTGTATTTAGCGCCATCCATCATTCCTTAAATTCTGACCAGTTTCCCAGTCCCTGCCGATGAATGTTCTGGAGTGATGGTGTTCTCGGAGTGATGAGAGGTGTTGGGTTTGTGCCAGACATAGCGTTTTCCTTGATAGCCAAAAAGCTCAATTTTAGTCTCATCTGACCAGAGCACCTTCTTCCATATGTTTGGGGAGTCTCCCACATGCCTTTTGGCGAACACCAAATGTGTTTGCTTCTTTTTTTCTTTAAGCAATGGCTTTTTTTCTGGCCACTCTTCTGTAAAGCCCAGCTCTGTGGAGTGTACGGCTTAAAGTGGTCCTATGGACAGATACTCCCAATCTCCGCTGTGGAGCTTTGCAGCTCCTTCAGGGTTATCTTTGGTCTCTTTGTTGCCTCTCTGATTAATGCCCTTCTTGCCTGGTCCGTGAGTTTTGGTGGGCGGCCCTCTCTTGGCAGGTTTGTTGTGCTGCCATATTCTTTCCATTTTTTAATAATGGATTTAATGGTGCTCCATGGGATGTTCAAGGTTTTGGATATTTTTTTATAACCCAACCCTGATCTGTACTTCTCCACAACTTTGAGAGCTCCTTGGTCTTCATGGTGCCGCTTGCTTGGTGGTGCCCCCTGCTTAGTGGTGTTGCAGACTCTGGGGCCTTTCAAAACAGGTGTATATATGCTGAGATCATGTGACAGATCATGTGACACTTAGATTGCACACAGGTGGACTTTATTTAACTAATTATGTGACTTCTAAAGGTAATTGGTTGCACCAGATCTTATTTAGGGGCTTCATAGCAAAAGGGGTGAATACATATTCACGCAACACTTTTCCGTTATTAATTTTTTATCATTTTTTAAAATAAGTTATTTTTTTCATTTCACTTCACCAATTTGGACTATGTTGTGTATGTCCATTACATGAAATCCATATAAAATCCATTTAAATTACAGGTTGCAATGCAACAAAATAGGAAATACGCCAAGGGGGATGAATACTTTTGCAAGGCACTGTATGCTTTTCCTTCACTCTGCGGTCCGACTCATCCCAAACCATCTCAATTGTGTTGATTGTGATGGCCAGGTCATCTGATGCAGCACTCCATCACTCTCCTTCTTGGTCAAATAGCCCTTACACAGCCTGGAGGTGTGTTGGGTCATTGTCCTGTTGAAAAACAAATGATAGTCCCACTAAGCGCAAACCAGATGGGATGGCGTATCACTGCATAATGCTCTGGTAGCCATGCTGGTTAAGTGTGCCTTGAATTCTAAATAAATCACAGACAGTGTCACCAGCAAAGCACCCCCACACCATCACACCTCCTCTTCCATGCTTCATGGTGGGAACCACACATGCAGAGATCATCCATTCACCTACTCTGTCTCACAAAGGCGGTTGGAACCAAAATGTGTCTGTTGCTTGAACTCTGTGAAGCATTTATTTGGGCTGCAATCTGAGGTAACCTTTATTTATCCAGGTAAGCCAGTTGAGAACAAGTTCTCATTTACAACTGCGACCTGGCCAAGATAAAGCAAAGCAGTGCGATAAAAACAACAACAACACAGAGTTACATATGGGGTAAAAAACATAAAGTCAAAAAATACAACAGAAAATATATATACAGTGTGTGCAAATGTAGCAAGTTATGGAGGTAAGGCAATAAATAGGCTATAGTGCAAAATAATTACAATTAGTATTAACACTGGAATGCTAGATGTGCAAGAGATTATGTGCAAATAGAGATACTGGGGTGCAAAAGAGCAAAATAAATAACAATATAGGGATGAGGTAGTTGGGTGGGCTAATTTCAGATGGGCTGTGTACAGGTGCAGTGATCGGTAAGGTGCTCTGACAACTGATGCTTAAAGTTAGTGAGGGAGATAAGAGTCTCCAGCTTCAGAGATTTTTGCAATTCGTTCCAGTCATTGGCAGCAGAGAACTGGAAGGAATGGCGGCCAAAGGAGGTGTTGGCTTTGGGAATGACCAGTGAGATATACCTGCTGGAGCGCAGACTACGGGTGGGTGCTGCTATGGTGACCAATGAGCTAAGATAAGGTGGGGATTTGCCCAGCAGTGATTTATAGATGGCCTGGAGCCAGTGGGTTTGACGACGAACATGTAGTGTGGACCAGCCAACAAGAGCGTACAGGTCACAGTGCTGGGTAGTGTATGGGGCTTTGGAGACAAAACGGATGGCACTGTGATAGACTACATCCAATTTGCTGAGTAGAGTGTTGGAGGCTATTTTGTAAATGACATCGTCGAAGTCAAGGATCGGTAGGATAGTCAGTTTTACGAGGGCATGTTTGGCAGCATGAGTGAAGGAGGCTTTGTTGCGAAATAGGAAGCCGATTCTAGATTTAACTTTGGATTGGAGATTCTTAATGTGAGTCTGGAAGGAGAGTTTACAGTCTAACCAGACACCTAGGTATTTGTAGTTGTCCACATACTCTAGGTCAGACCCGTCGTGAGTGGTGATTCTAGTCAGGTGGATGGGTGCCAGCAGCGTTCGATTGAAGAGCATGCATTTAGTTTTACTAGTGTTTAAGAGCAGTTGGAGGCTACTGAAGGAGTGTTGAATGGCATTGAAGCTCGTTTGGAGGTTTGTTAACACAGTGTCCAATGAAGGGCCAGATGTATACAAAATGGTGCCGTCTGCGTAGAGGTGGATCTGAGAGTCACCAGCAGCAAGAGCGACATCATTGATATACACGGAGAAAAGAGTCGGCCCAAGAATTGAACCCTGTGGCACCCCCATAGAGACTGCCATAGGTCCAGACAACAGGCCCTCCGATTTGACACATTGAACTCTATCTGAGAAGTAGGCAGTCATTTGAGAAACCAAGGCTATTTAGTCTGCCAATAAGAATGCGGTGGTTGACAGAGTCGAAAGCCTTGGCCAGGTCGATGAAGAGTTAACTCTAATGAACTTATCCTCTGCAGCAGAGGTAACTCTGTGTCTTTCTTTCCTGTCGCGGTCCTCATGAAAGCCAGTTTCATCATAGCGCATTATGCTTTTTGTGACTTCACTTGAAGAAACTTTCAAAGTTCTTGAAATTTTCCGGATTGACTGACCTTCATGTCTTACAGTAATGATGGACTGTCGTTTCTCTTTGCTTATTTGAGCTGTTCTTGCCATAATATGGACTTGGTATTTTACCAAATAGGGTTATCTTCTGTATACCACCCCTACCTTGTCACAACACAACTGATTGGCTCAAACGCATTAAGAAGGAAAGAAATTCCACAAATGAACTTTTAAGAAGTCACACCTGTTAATTAAAATGCATTCCAGGTGACTACCTCATGAAGCTGGTTGAGAGAATACAAGAGTGTGCAAAGCTGTCATCAAGGCAAAGGGTGGCTACTTTGAAGAATCTTAAATATCAAATATATTTTGATTTGTTTAACACTTTTATGGTTACTACATGATTTCATATGTGTTATTTCATAGTTTTGATGTCTACACTATTATTCTACAACGTAGAAAATTGTAAAAATAAAGAAAAACCCTAGAATGAGTAGGTGTGTCCAAACTTTTGACTGGTACTGTACATCTCCAGTTGTGGTTAGCATAATACACACTAACACACATCACCTGGGGAGAGACATGTATGCTAATGCTAGTCCTTTAAAGTAATGCTGAGGGGATCATTAATTAGCTAATGGCTAGCATGGCAGCGGAGCAGAACCCTGCTAAGAGGAGTCCTTGGTTACAGTAGCTGAGTCAGTCCAGCGTTTGAACTAAAGCTCCTCATCATCACCATAATCATGCAGTTGGCCTGCTTTAACTAGAGCTAATTGCACCTCCGCTCAGCTCAGCCCAGCTCTCTGTGCCTCTGTTGTATATTATGTGACAGGGGGTGAGGGGGGGGGGGGGTGGTACCTGATTGCGAGAAAGAGGGACAATGAGAGAGAGAGCGAGAGAGACACAGAGAGAGGTACTGATTGAGAGAAAGAGACTGTGAGATTGAGAGAGGAGAGGGAGATAGCTAAAGAAAATGGATTTGACAAGAGTGAGATGGAGGTCGAGGTGGAGAGTGTGAGAGAGAAATGTCTATAATGAGACCTTGTCCTGATTGATCTACCGTTATCATACATATACAAGGCTTCTGTTTACTGGTTCTTGAGATACTCTCTCTATTTTCTTCTTTCCCCCAAATATCCCTCCCAGTCCCATCACCAAGCACTCAAGTTGCCAGACAGCCAGAGCGGTTTGAGACATGCACTCCCAGTTGCCAGACAGCCAGAGCGGTTTGAGCCATGCACTCCCAGTTGCCAGACAGCCAGAGCGGTTTGAGCCATGCACTCCCAGTTGCCAGACAGCCAGAGCGGTTTGAGGCAACCAAAGCAGTCATGCCCCACTTCACTGTCCCTACTGTCTAATCCAATGGAGTAAATTGAGTTTTCTAGAGCAGACAGACGAGGGGTCCGGGTCAAGCCCAGCTCCACTCACCTCTCTCCACTCCCTCCCTCCCTCCTTGTTTCACTCACCTCTCTCTTCTCATCACTCACTCTCTCAGCTCAAACACTCTCATTCAGAAGGCCAGACTGACTGCAACTGCCAATGTGAGGGGAATGACAACACACTCATCTTTATAGAAGGGTTAAGCACAGGGTAGTTGTTCTGAGGTGTTTTAATCACAGACATGGGTAGAGACCATTGGGCAGCAGGAGTCTTAGTGGTTCTCTAATGGGCTGATCCATCTGATCTTCTAGGTAGACTTTTAGTGTGTCTGCTGCAGCTAGAGGAGAATAGCATTTCATATGTTTATTTTTGCCTAGTTGGTGATGAAAGAGGTATCTGACCTTGGTTGAGTGTTTTCGTGTGTGTGGTTTGTGTGTGTTTTCCTGTCCAGTGAGTGGAGCCTGGTCCTGTTGGTCGTCCTGGTCTCAGTGTTCGGTACCCTGTGGTGGAGGGCACTATCAGCGTACCCGATCCTGTAACAACCCCAGCGCTGGCAACGGAGGCGATATCTGTATCGGCCTACACACTGAGGAAGCGCTGTGCAACACACACACCTGTGACGGTAAGGCAAACACACACACACACACACACACACACACACACACACACACACACACACACACACACACACACACACACACACACACACACACACACACACACACACACACACACACACACACAACACATCCATCAGAGTCACAGGCTTCCCTATCCTTTACATCAGAACGATCATTGGCTCTAATCAATGCATTGTAAGTCTATCATGATAATTACTCACTGATCAATACTGTGCCAGTCAGCACCTTGTTATGTCACTCCAGAGAGGGGTGTGAAAGAGGTGCATATTGGAAAACGGAGTTCCCATGCCTATTCCCTGCAGTGCTGGGGCCTGGAGTCAGCCCAATTGTGTCTGACAGTGTACCTCATTGCCCAATAATGTGTGACGATAGGATGTGATATTTATACTGTCTATCTAACCAGGCCCTCTGCTCTGTGCGTTCCTCTGTTCACAGTCTGTGTAGTGCCTCTGCTTCCTATAGGACTCTGTAATGTGTATCAGTGTGAGCAAGCTACAGCTAATCCTTGGTAGAAAGTTACGCTAAGACATTCCTCTGAATAAGCCCACAGCCCTAATGAGAGACAATACTAATCTAATCTCTTGTCTAAAGAGTTTATTTTTTGTTTTATCTGATTCCTATCCTAATCCATTCTTTATTTCCTGGAGTTTGCTAGCCAGTGTCACTATTTATTGTGTTCCTGCTGCGACGTGTGTGTGTGTGTGTGTGTGTGTGTGTGTGTGTGTGTGTGTGTGTGTGTGTGTGTGTGTGTGTGTGTGTGTGTGTTTAACTATACTTGTGGGACTAGAAGTCCCCCCAAGAACAGTAAACGAACAAAACATTTGACCAACTGGGGACATTTTGTTCGTCCCCACAAGGTCAAATGCTATTTCTAGGGGGTTTATAGTTAAGGTTAAAATTAGGTTTAGGGTTACGGTTAGGAGCTAGGGTTAGTTTTAGGTTTATGGTTAAGGTTAGGGTAAGGGTTAGGGTTAGGGTTAGGTTTATGGTTAGGGAAAATAGGATTTTGAATGGGACTGAATTGTGTGTCCCCACAAGGTGTGTGTGTGTGCTCATTCAGGGAAGGGGTCCTGGGTGGCGCAGCGGTCAAAAGGCACCACCACAGCCTAGGCTGAAATCCGGGTAAAGCGGGCAGTGTGATAAGAAGTAGGTCATGTTTTGGAGGACGCATGACTCGACCTTTGCCTCTCCCGAGCCCGTTGAGGAGTTGCAGAGATGAGCCAAGGGACCTAATTCAGGGAGAAAACGCGACAAAATATATATACACAAGCTTGTGGCCATATCACCCTGAACGTCAGGCCTGGTTAGTATTGGGACTGGGAATACCAGGTGCCGTAAGCTACACATTTTTTAAAATATATAAGAAATATGTTGCCATCTGGGATGCAGACTTGGATGCATGTCAGCCCCTTTTGGCATCACGCGGTTAATGTTCTCTTTTGACGTAGGGCTAACACTTCCCGTTAGCAGTGTGTGTGTGTGTGTGTGTGTGTGTGTGTGTGTGTGTGTGTGTGTGTGTGTGTGTGTGTGTGTGTGTGTGTGTGCCTGCACGCCTGCGTGTGTGTTCACCTTCGTTTGTGTGCCCCTGCTTGCGTCCACAGTTTGCCATGCTAAAGTCTTGTCCTCATCTGTTTTCTGCTTCGGTACATTTACTGACAGGCAGGACATTGGTAATCTATTCCCTACAAATACAGTGAACCTCCAATTAGCCAAAAAACCTTGTGTCTGTCAGTCCCCGGCCAATCTGATGGCCTTGTCAGAGATGGCTTGATTAAATAGATTGTGCTAACTAATGGAGGACAGGAGGGTGTGTGTGTGTGTGTGTGTGTCCATATTAGGACAGCCTCAGAGTCGCAAGGACACCAACTCCCTGTGACTCTGAGGCTGTCCTAATATGAATACCATCCTAATATGGATGCTGTACCGTGGGGGTTGTATTGTGGTGTTCTATGTAGACTGGCGTGGGGAGATCAGAGAGCACATGGAGCAGCTTCAGCAGCCTGTGACTGAGAGGCTGACTGATAGGAGAGGTAAACAAAATGGCTGAATGCCTTTTGGCATCATGCGTTGGAAACTGGGTTCTGGTAGAGGGTCTTTCCTATTTACTGTACACAGGCGCCTGTCGGCCGGGAAACATGGCTAACGCTTGGCTGTAGACACAAACATCTCGCCTATGCACTAAACAAACTATGGGTTTGCTTTCTCAATACAGTTTACCTCACAACTACTTGGGTCTGTTTGTATATGGCTAGGGTTGTTTGTGGCTGTGCTGTGATGGGGCTAGTTTGTTTGTTGTCATGCGCTTGGGTGGTCAAGTTGGGTTCCAGGCATTTTCAGAATGCAGCGGTTACCTCAACTCAGGGTGAGTCCTTGGTCATTTGTCTGTGAACTGACGGTCGTGTGTGTGTGTGTGTGTGTTTGTGCGCGTGCGTGTGTGTGTGCGGAGGCGGCTGGATGGCCTGGTCTCTGTGGTCAGCATGCGATGACGTAGGGCTTCAGGTACGCAGCCGGGTCTGTGGGGCTCAAGGATCTGCCCCCTGTGTGGGAAACAACACTGAGCACAGGGACTGCAATGAGATTCCAGGTGAGCCATACACATCTTCATCATACACTACCGGTCAAACGTTTTAGAACACCTACTCATTCAAGGGTTTTTCTTTATTTTTACTATGTTCTACATTGTAGAATAATAGTGAAGACCTCAATACTATGAAATATAACATTTGGAATCATGTAGTAACCAAAAAAGTGTTAAACAAATCAAAATATATTTTATATTTGAGATTCATCAAATAGCCACCCTTTGCCTTGATGACAGCTTTGCACACTCTTGGCATTCTTTCAACCAGCTTCAACTGGAATGCTTTTCCAACAGTTTTGAAGGAGTTCCCACATATGCTGAGCACTTGTTGGCTGCTTTTCCATCACTCTGCAGTCCGACTCATCCCAAACCATCTCAATTTGGTTGAGGTCGGGAGATTGTGGAGGCCAGGTCACCTGATGCAGCACTCCATCACTCTCCTTCTTGGTCAAATTGCCCGTACACAGCCTGGAGGTGTGTTGGGTCATTGTCCTGTTGAAAAACAAATGATAGTCCCACTAAGCCCAAACCAGATGGGATGGCGTATCGCTGCAGAATGCTGTGGTAGCCATGCTGGTTAAGTGTGCCTTGAATTCTAAATAAATCACAGACAGTGTCACCAGCAAAGCACCCCCACACCATAACACCACCTCCTCCATGCTTTACGGTGGGAACTACACATGCGGAGATCATCCGTTCACCCACACCGCGTTTCACAAAGACACGGCGGTTGGAACCAAAAATCTCAAATTTGGACTGCAGACCAAAGGACACATTTCCACCGGTCTAATGTCCATTGCTCGTGTTTCTTGGCCCAAGCAAGTCTCTTCTTGTTATTGGTGTCCTTTAGTAGTGGTTTCTTTGTAGCAATTCGACCATGAAGGCCTGATTCACATAATCTCCTCTGAACAGTTGATGTTGAGATGTGTCTGTTACTTGAACTCTGTGAAGCATTTATTTGGGCTGCAATTTCTGAGGCTGGTAACTCTAATGAACTTATCCTCAGCAGCAGAGGTAACTCTGGGTCTTTTATTCCTGTGGCGGTCCTCATGAGGGCCAGTTTCATCATAGCGCTTGATGGTTTTTGTGATTGCACTTGAAGAAACTTAAAAGTTATTGAAATGTTCTGTATTGACTGACCTTCATGTCTTAAAGTAATGATGGACTGTCGTTTCTCTTTGCTTATTTGAGCTGTTCTTGCCATAATGTGGACTTGGTCTTTTACCAAATAGGGCTATCTTCTGTATATCACCCCTACCTTGTCACAACACAACTGATTGGCTCATACGCATTAAGAAGGAAAGAAATTCCACAAATTAACTTTTAAGAAGGCACACCTGTTAATTGAAATGCATTCCAGGTGACTACCTCATGAAGCTGGTTGAGAGAATACCAAGAGTGTGCAAAGCTGTCATTAAGGCAATGGGTGGCTATTTCAAGAATCTCAAATATCAAATATATTTTGATTTGTTTAACACTTTTTTGGTTACTACATGATTCCATATGTGTTATTTCATAGTTTTGATGTCTTCACTATTATTCTACAATGTAGAAAATAGTAAAAATAAGAAAAAAACCTTGAATGAGTAGGTGTTCTAAAACTTTGGACCGGTAGTGTATACGTCATCATCATCACCACCAACATCATCATCATAACCGTTATCATGATCATCATCATCGTTCATAATCATCACTATCATCATTATCATAACCGTGATCATCATCATCATCATCATCATCATCATCATCGTCATCATTCATAAACATAATTATCATCACCATCCTCGTCATCACCTCCACCATTATCATAACCACTCTGAGATAATAACCAGATAGTAAGACGCATCATACACATAGGGACAGTTTCTTGGACACAGATTAAGCCTAGTCCAATACAAAAAAGCATGGATATTCTCTATTGAAAGTGCTTTTTAGTCCATCCATGACAAGGCTTAATCTGTCTGGGAAACCGGCCCATATGGAATTTTTAAAATTATTATTATTGTTTAATTCACACCTGCACTTTTGGAGCTTGGAGCTTAAGTATTTCACTGTACACTACAACTACATCTGTGACCCTGTGCATGTGACAAAATGAAAAATCTAATCAAATTTCCCCCACCCCACCAGAATAAGATTTTCTATCTTAATTTGTGCTAATCAAGTCTCAGTAAAGCAGGCTTCTTAGAGTGCTCCTCTTATGAGGACCTTGTTAAGGCTGTTTCCTTTCCTTTAGTTTTAACAGAGTAGTGATCTTTCCGGCCCTGGCTTTTGAACAGAGCCCTATAGACAGGTTAGCTGACAACGTCACAAAAATTATGCGCGCGCTTGGAAGGGGCAGAAGGCTGTGTGTTGTTGTGGTTCTGGGTGGCCAGATAGCTAGCCACAATGACAAGAAGCTGTCATGAGAGACAAGTGCTCATTGTGTAACTGTATTTATGTTATCAATAAACATTGGAAACCAAATATAGTTTACATGTTGTCAACAATCGAAGCCCACCCTGTCTGTTTTTCCCCATTGTTGCTAAACAACCAACCCGTCTATGGGTCCTGGTCAAAAGTATACCACTAAATAGGGAAGAAGGTACCATTTGGGACGCTGCCCAAATCACATCTAATTTCATTGCAATTTTGGACAAGGCGATGGAAATCGTAAAGTCACTCTTATGGCGTGTGACACTCGCTCAGGCGAAATTGCCCCAAAATGTAATCATAGGATGGCCGCGTTACAATTAAAAACACACACCCTCCCCTTCCCCCTCTCCCTCCTGATGACTGGCTTTAAGTGTCTGTTAAACGTTATAGAAGCTAGTCTGCACAACATTCCCAACTGTCTGAAGTATTCATTAGTGTTTCATGATGTATGTTTCTTTGTTTGTACTGTGTGTACTGTGTGTACTGTTCTGTAAGTACCATCTACCAGTTCAAATCACAGTCTACTCTGATGTCTTGGATATTTCTGTGGGTGGTAAGAATGTGCATGTGCTGGTAGCTGACTGTGTGTCTGTCTCTGCATGTATGTATGTCTGTCTGTCTGTGTGTTGTGTTGCAGTGATTCTCCCTACGTCTGGCTTTGATAAGGACCAGCAATGCGGAGGTAAGTGGATTAACAACCACCTACGTGTGTGTGTGTTCCATGAATCCTTTCATTCAGTCAGCAGGAGGTAATAGGAGCGCTGTAGGTATACCCCCCCTTCTCCTCTTCTCCTCCTCCACTTTAATCTATCTTTGAGGGGGGATACCACCATGTCCGTGCTGAATCCATGGCGATGCTGCACAAGCCTTTGAACCAATCATCAGATGTGGAATATGCATGAGGGGGTACGGACATTAGAATGAGGTGTAGGAAGCCTGCTGGGAAGGGTAATGGTTTGACAAGGCTGTGCCGCCACGCCATTGGACAGCTTCCAGGAAGACGGCAGGGGCACTGAGGAGGAGGAGCTTGATACCCTTGAATGAATCACCATTTTACTAGCCTGGTCCCCTCAACGTGACCAAGACAAAGGAGATGATTGTGGACTACAGGAAAAGGAGGTCCTAGCACGCCCTCATTCTCATCGACGGGGCTGTAGTGGAGCAGGTTGAGAGCTTCAAGTTCCTTGGTGTCCACATTACCAACAAACTATCATGGTCCAAACACACCAAGACAGTCGTGATGAGGGCACGACAAAGCCTATTCACCCTCAGGAGACTGAAAAGATTTGGCATGGGTCCTCAGATCCTCAAAAGGTTATACAGCTGCACCATTGAGAGCATCCTGACTGGTTGCATCACTGCCTGGGATGGCAACTGCTCGGGCCTCCGACCGCAAGGCACTACAGAGGGTAGTGCGTACGGCCCAGTACATCACTGGGGCCAAGCTTCCTGCCATCCAGGACCTCTATACCAGGCTGTGTCAGAGGAAGGCCCTAAAAATTGCCAAAGAATGTTCTCTCTGCTATCGCACGGCAAGCGGTAGCGGAGCACCAAGTCTAGGTCCAAACGCCTTCTTAACAGCTTCTACCCCCAAGCCATAAGTCTCCTGAACAGCTAATCAAATGGCTACCTGGACTATTTGCATTGTCCCCCCCTACCCAACCCAACCCCCTCTTTTTACGCTGCTGCTACTCTGTTTATTATCTATACAAAGTCACTTTACCTCTACCCACATGTACATATTACATTTTTGTCATTTAGCAGACGCTCTTATCTAGAGCGACTTACAGTTAGTGAATACATATAATTTTTTTATACTGGCCCCCTGTGGGAATCGAACCCACAACCCTGCCGTTGCAAACGCCATGCTCTATCAACTGAGCTACATCCCTGCCGGCCATTCCCTCCCCTACCCTGGACCAATTGTGCGCCGCCCATGAGTCTCCCGGTCGCGGCCGGCGGCGACAGAGCCTGGATTCGAACCAGGATCTCTAGTGGCACAGTTAGCACTGCGATGCAGTGCCTTAGACCACTGCGCCACTCAGGAGTTATTACCTTGACTAACCGGTGCCCCCGCACATTGACTCAGTACCGGTACCCCCTGTATATAGCCTCGCTACTGTTATTTTACTGCTGCTCTTTAATTATTATTATTTTTTAACTTATCTATTTTTACTTAACACTTATTTTTCTTAAAACTACATTGTTGGTTAAGGGCTTGTAAGTAAGCATTTCACTGTAAGGTCTACACCTGTTTTATTTGGCGAATGTGACAAATAAAAATGTATTTGATATCTTGCTAACTCCTGAGTTCATTGTCACTAAGAGAGAGAGAGAGAGAGAGAGAGAGAGAGAGAGAGAGAGAGAGAGAGAGAGAGAGAGAGAGAGAGAGAGAGAGAGAGAGAGAGAGAGAGAGCGAGAGAGAGAGAGAGAGAGAGAGAGAGAGAGAGAGAGAGAGAGAAGAGAGGAGAGAGAGAGAGAGAGAGAGAGAGAGAGAGAGAGAGAGAGAGATGAGAGAGAAGAGAGAGAGGACGAGAGAGAGAGAGAGAGAGAGAGACTACTATTGGACTCAGAGATCTTCTACTCCTCCTCTATCTGCTGTTCATTTGAATTAGATTTCCCATTAATCCTGACTCCTTCCCCTCTTCTCTTTGTTGTTTTTTCCCATATCACCTCTCTGCACCTGATAGCCACAGGCGTGTCCTGTTTCCTGGGGGCGGGCCTTCTGTCCTTCCTGGTCTATGTGTACTGCCAGCGCTTCCACAAGCCCTCGCAGGAGTCTGCCATCATACACCCAACCACGCCCAACCACCTCAACTACAAGGGCAACACCACACCAAAGAACGAGAAGTACACACCCATGGAGTTCAAGGTATTGTCACAGGTACAGTATACAGGGGTTGTCACTCACGCAGACATGGACGTCCGCATGCAGACACACACGTGCATAAACACACACACACAGTTGTTTTACTAACCTTGTGGGGACACACAATTGATTCCCATTCCAAATCCTAGTTTTCCTAACCCTAGCCCTAACCATAACCATAACCCTGACCCTAACCTTAACCCCAAAACTTAACTTTAACCCTAAACCTAACCTTTAACTCCTAAACCTAATTCTAACACTAATTCTAACCCTAACCCCCCTAGAAATAGCATTTTTCTTTGTGGGGGCTTGCAAAATGTCCCCAGTTGGTCAAACAAAAATCAGTTTACTATTCTTGTGGGGACTTCTGTTCCCCACCAGTATAGTTAAACATGTCCACACACACACACACACACACACACACAGACATAGACACACACACAGACATATACACACAGACATGAACGCACGATTTTCTGCGTAGCAAAGAGATGCGGTAACACCAGCCATTCATCTGGTTTTGACAGGATATTCCTTATGTCTAGGGTTATTTCATTATATGAGGATGAGTAATGTTGAGAACTCAGAACTCTTATTTTCCTTACTCCATGGAGCCTCACAGCCTCAGTCCTTATTAATGGACCCTTTTAGGCTGTTATAGCCATGGACTTCCACTGCTGTCTATAATGCTGGAACCATCATCTCTTGAGAAAAGCATCAGCCAAAACCTCGGGGCTGGCTCAACTATATTGAATTCAATAATACATGTAAAGTCAAGCTGCACCTGCCTGCCCCACCTTTCCTCTGTTTTGGACCTATCACCTGCTTGTGCCTATGAGCCACCTTCCGATCCCATCGATCCGTCCCACCATGGCATTGCCATTCCTACATACGTCAGGGTTAGCCCTAGGACCAAGGTCATGATTCACCTAGTAAACATAGTTCCATATTATTTTGCCTCCTAATTAGTCAAGTACTGTGCTAGGACGGTCTGTATCTCAGGTGATGGTTGGTGCTTCTCAGAAGGACACCTGATTGTTTTTCTAAAGCTGTCAGCCACAGGCTGGCTGAGTGATGTGTTGTGGTACAGTAGTTGAGGCTGGGTCCTAGTACCCTGATGATCAGAGCCATACAGTGAGAGCAGAAGCTTAATAGCATAAGGATGGCTAGGCAGGCCCTGTGTAGCTCAGTTGGTAGAGCATGGCGTTTGCAACGCCAGGGTTGTGGGTTCGATTCCCACGGGGGGCCAGTATGAAAATATGTATGCACTCACTAACTGTAAGTCGCTCTGGATAAGAGCGTCTGCTAAATGACTAAAATGTAAATACCACAGGTAGCTAGCTAACTATTAGCCTGACATCCTAACTGATTTCGCTATGTTTAACCTGTGAGCACAGCATACAGTCTGGTTTAACCAGGTTAGCTAGCTAGAGCCACTCGCTCAACCTGAGAACTACTGCTGTTACCATTGGTCTTTCTTCACAGGCTCTCACCGCCCTCCTCCAGGGTGTTTCAAAATGGCTGACGTTGTTGTGCATTACACTGATTCTGTAACCCAATTATACAGAGCAGCGTTTGGCCAAGAGCTGTTAAGATAAATTACATTACTGAGCAGCCCTCCGTAGTGTTCCCTCCGTCGGCTTGTTGTGGCTTCTAGCCGCCGCGACCTGCCTGTAAAGTGCAAGTGCATTATGTTAAGGCTGCGTCCCAAATGGCACCCCATTGCCTATATAGTGCACTACTTTCCAAATTGGCCTTGGTCAAAAGTAGCACACTATAAAGGGAAAAGGGTTCCATTTGGAATGCAATCCTACAGTAAATGTATTTTTTGTGCAGTTTCCACATTAAAAGGGACCTACTGTAATTTATTCATGCCTCTCATGTTTGTTAATTGATTATGCTTGATTTGTGGCTGCTAAATCACATTTGTTGAAGTTTTTTACCCTTGCTTAAAGATGCACTTACAGTTGAAGTCAGAAGTTTACATACACTTAGGTTGGAGTCATTAAAACTCGTTTTTCAACCACTCCACAAATTTCTTGTTAACAAACTATAGTTTTGGCAAGTCGGTTAGGACATCTACTTTGTGCATGACACAAGTAATTTTTCCAACAATTGTTTACAGACAGATTATTTAACTTATAATTCACTGTATCACAATTCCAGTGGGTCAAAAGTTTACATACACTAAGTTGACTGTGACTTTAAACAGCTTGGAAAATGTATGGCTTTAGAAGCTTCTGATAGGCTAATTGACATAATTTGAGTCAATTGGAGGTGTACCTGTGGATGTAATTCAAGGCCTACCTTCAAACTCAATGCCTCTTTGTTTGACATCATGGGAAAATCAAAAGAAATCAGCCAAGACCTCAGGAAAAAAATTGTAGACCTCCACAAGTCTGGTTCATCCTTGGGAGCAATTTCCAAATGCCTGAAGGTTCCACGTTCATCTGTACAAACAATAGTACGCAAGTATAAACACCATGTGACCACACAGCGTCATACCGCTCAGGAAGGAGACATGTTCTGTCTTCTAGAGACTAACGTACTTTGGTGCGAAAAGTGCTAATCAATCCCAGAACAACAGCAAAGGACCTTGTGAAGATGCTGGAGGAAACAGGTACAAAAGTATCTATATCCACAGTAAAACGAGTCCTATATAGACATAACCTGAAAGGCCACTCAGCAAGGAAGAAGCCACTGCTCCAAAACCGCCATAAAAAAGCCAGACTACAGTTTGCAACTGCACATGGGGACAAAGATCGTACTTTTTGGAGACATGTCCTCTGGTCTGATGAAACAAAAATATAACTGTTTGGCCATAATGACCATCGTTATGTTTGGAGGAGAAAGGGGAAGGCTTGCAAGCCAAAGAACACCATCCCAACCGTGAAGCACGGGGGAGGCAGCATCATGCTGCAGGAGGGACTGGTGCACTTCACAAAATAGATGGCATCATGAGGAAGGAAAATTATGTGGATATATTGAAGCAACATCTCAAGACATCAGTCAGGAAGTTAAAGCTTGGTCGCAAGTAGGTCTTCCAAATGGACAATGACCCCAAGCATACTTTCAAAGTTGTGGCAAAATGGCTTAAGGACAACAAAGTCAAGGTATTGGAGTGGCCATCACAAAGCCCTGACCTCAATCCTATAGAACATTTGTGGGCAGAACTGAAAAAGCGTGTGCGAGCAAGGAGGCCTACAAACCTGACTCAGTTAAACCAGCTCTGTCAGGAGGAATGGGCCAAAATTCACCCAACTTATTGTGGGAAGCTTATGGAAGGCTACCCAAAATGTTTGACCCAAGTTAAACAATTTAAAGGCAATGCTACCAAATACAGTGAGGGAAAAAAGAATTTGAAATGTCAAAATAATAGTAGAGAGAATTATTTATTTCAACTTTTATTTCTTTCATCACATTCCCAGTGAGTCAGAAGTTTACATACACTCAATTTGTACAGTGAGGGAAAAAAGTATTTGATTTTGTACGTTTGCCCACTGACAAAGAAATGATCAGTCTATAATTTTAATGGTAGGTTTATTTGAACAGTGAGAGACAGAATAACAACAACAAAAATCCAGAAAAACGCATGTCAAAAATGTTATAAATTGATTTACATTTTAATGAGGGAAATAAGTATTTGACCCCTCTGCAAAACATGACTTAGTACTTGGTGGCAAAACCCTTGTTGGCAATCACAGAGGTCAGATGTTTCTTGTAGTTGGCCACCAGGTTTGCACACTTCTCAGGAGGGATTTTGTCCCACTCCTCTTTGCAGATCTTCTCCAAGTCATTAAGGTTTCGAGGCTGACGTTTGGCAACTCGAACCTTCAGCTCCCTCCACAGATTTTCTATGGGATTAAGGTCTGGAGAATGGCTAGGCCACTCCAGGACCTTAATGTGCTTCTTCTTGAGCCACTCCTTTGTTGCCTTGGCCGTGTGTTTTGGGTCATTGTCATGCTGGAATACCCATCCACGACCCATTTTCAATGCCCTGGCTGAGGGAAGGAGGTTCTCACCCAAGATTTGACAGTACATGGCCCCGTCCATTGTCCCTTTGATGCGGTGAAGTTGCCCTGTCCCCTTAGCAGAAAAACACCCCCAAAGCATAATGTTTCCACCTCCATGTTTGACGGTGGGGATGGTGTTCTTGGGGTCATAGGCAGCATTCCTCCTCCTCCAAACACGGCGAGTTGAGTTGATGCCAAAGAGCTCCATTTTGGTCTCATCTGACCACAACACTTTCACCCAGTTCTCCTCTGAATCATTCAGATGTTCATTGGCAAACTTCAGACGGGCATGTAAAGTGGGGAGAACAAGTATTTGATACACTGCCGATTTTGCAGGTTTTCCTACTTACAAAGCATGTAGAGGTCTGTAATTTTTATCGTAGGTACACTTCAACTGTGAGAGACGGAATCTAAAACAAAAATGCAGAAAATCACATTATATGATTTTTAAGTTATTAATTTGCATTTTATTGCATAACATAAGTATTTGATCACCTACCAACCAGTAAGAATTCTGGCTCTCACAGACCTGTTAGTTTTTCTTTAAGAAGCCCTCCTTTTCTCCACTCATCACCTGTATTAACTGCACCTGTTTGAACTCGTTACCTGTATAAAAGACACCTGTCCACACACTCAATCAAACAGACTCCAACCTCTCCACAATGGCCAAGACCAGAGAGCTGTGTAAGGACATCAGGGATAAAATTGTAGACCTGCACAAGGCTGGGATGGGCTACATGACAATAGGCAAGCAGCTTGGTGAGAAGGCAACAACTGTTGGCGCAATTATTAGAAAATGGAAGAAGTTCAAGATGACGGTCAATCACCCTCGGTCTGGGGCTCCATGCAAGATCTCACCTCGTGGGGCATCAATGATCATGAGGAAGGTGAGGGATCAGCCCAGAACTACACGGCAGGACCTGGTCAATGACCTGAAGAGAGCTGGGACCACAGTCTCAAAGAAAACCATTAGTAACACACTACGCCGTCATGGATTAAAATCCTGCAGCGCACGCAAGGTCCCCCTGCTCAAGCCAGCACATGTCCAGGCCCTTCTGAACTTTGCCAATGACCATCTGGATGATCCAAAGGAGGAATGGGAGAAGGTCATGTGGTCTGATGAGACAAAAATATAGCTTTTTGGTCTAAACTCCACTCGCCGTGTTTGGGGGAAGAAGAAGTATGACCATCCCAAGAACACCATGCCAACCGTGAAGCATGGAGGTGGAAACATCATTCTTTGGGGATGCTTTTCTGCAAAGGGGACAGGACGACTGCACCGTATTGAGGGGAGGATGGATGGGGCCATGTATCGCGAGATCTTGGCCAACAACCTCCTTCCCTCAGTAAGAGCATTGAAGATGATTGGGTCTTCCAGCATGACAACGACCCGAAACACACAGCCAGGGCAACTAAGGAGTGGCTCCGTAAGAAGCATCTCAAGGTCCTGGAGTGGCCTAGCCAGTCTCCAGACCTGAACCCAATAGAAAATCTTTGGAGGGAGCTGAAAGTCCGTATTGCCCAGCGACAGCCCCGAAACCTAAAGGATCTGGAGAAGGTCTGTATGGAGGAGTGGGCCAAAATCCCTGCTGCAGTGTGTGCAAACCTGGTCAAGACCTACAGGAAACGTATGATCTCTGTAATTGCAAAAAAAGGTTTCTGTAACAAATATTAAGTTCTGCTTTTCTGATGTATCAAATACTTATGTCATGCAATAAAATGCAAATTAATTACTTAAAAATCATACAATGTGATTTTCTGGATTTTTGTTTTAAATTCCATCTCTCACAGTTGAAGTGTACCTATGATAAAAATTACAGACCTCTACATGCTTTGTAAGTAGGAAAACCTGCAAAATCAGCAGTGTATCAAATACTTGTTCTCCCCACTCTATATGTGCTTTCTTGAGCAGGGGGACCTTGTGGGCGCTGCAGGATTTCAGTCCTTCACGGCGTAGTGTGTTACCAATTGTTTTCTTGGTGACTATGGTCCCAGCTGCCTTGAGATCATTGACAAGATCCTCCCGTGTAGTTCTGGGCTGATTCCTCACCATTCTCATTATCATTGCAACTCCACGAGGTGAGATCTTGCATGGAGCCCCAGGCCGAGGGAGATTGACAGTTCTTTTGTGTTTCTTCCATTTGCGAATAATTGCACCAACTGTTGTCACCTTCTCACCAAGCTGCTTGGCGATGGTCTTGTAGCCCATTCCAGTCTTGTGTAGGTCTACATTCTTGTCCCTGACATCCTTGGAGAGCTCTTTGGTCTTGACCATGGTAGAGAGTTTGGAATCTGATTGATTGATTGCTTCTGTGGACAGGCATCTTTTTTACAGGTAACAAGCTGAGATTAGGAGCACTCCCTTTAAGAGTGTGCTCCTAATCTCAGCTCGTTACCTGTATAAAAGACACCTGGGAGCCAGAAATCTTTCTGATTGAGAGGGGGTCAAATACTTATTTTCCTCATTAAAATGCAAATCAATTTTTATAAAAATTTACATGCGTTTTTCTGGATTTTTGTTGTTGTTATTCTGTCTCACACTGTTCAAATAAACCTACCATTAAAATTATAGACTGATCATTTCTTTGTCAGTGGGCAAACGTACAAAATCAGCAGGGGATCAAATACTTTTTTACCTCACTGTACAAATTGAGTGTATCTAAACTTCTGACTCACTGGGAATGTGATGAAAGAAATAAAAGCTGAAATAAATCATTCTCTCTACTATTATTTTGACATTTCAAATTCTTAAAATAAAGTGGTAATCCTAACTGACCTAAGACAGAGACTTTTTACTAGGATTAAATGTCAGGAATTGTGAAAAACTGAGTTTTAATGTGTTTGGCTAAGGTGTATGTAAACTTCCGACTTCAACTGTACAGTACCCAGCACTGTAGCCCACTTTTCAACTTGTAAGAATATAATATATTGATATTGCTCCTGTCTGAGTCATTGGTAAACTAAACCATCTGTTATAACACTGTTCTGAAACTCTTATGTCACTGTTATAACACTGTTCTGACTGTTTTCTCTACTCTTCCCACCTCACCCAGACACTATCAGTATGTTACACTTTACTGTACGTACCTTTTACAGTGTTTTCTGTCTAATTTTCTAGCCATTGTCACCTGTTATGACTGTGTTCTCTCCTCTTCCAGACCCTGAACAAGAACAACCTGCTCCCAGACGAGAGGTCTAACTTCTACCCAACGCCCCTGCCGCAAACTAACGTTTACACCACCACCTACTACCCCACAGCGCTGGGAAAATACGACTACAACAGGCCTGACTCCTCCCCTTCCCCCTGCAGAACCTATAACCACAGCTGAGGCACGCCCCCCATGGCCCCCGGCCCCACCCACCTACCCTGACTGAACTAAACTCCAACCCCATCGCCATGGTGACAGATGACATGGTGACTGAACACAACCTAAGACCTGGATCTCATTTTTGCTCCCTTTTCCTTTATCCCATGGTATCGCCCAAATGGTGGGGTGTGTGTGTGTGTAAGGGTATACCTGGAACATACCATCAGCACTCTGTAGGGGTGGATACAGTATGGATGCTGATGCCTCCCCTAGACTCACTAAGTAGAGCCAGGAACCTGATCATGGTACTGGACATCACAGTGTCAACGTAGTGCTTCGGTGGAGAGCTGAATGATGAACTGCATAAGACACTATAAGCTACAGTAGGGAGTTGGATAACTACTTATCCCTGTGGAACTTTACAACCTGAGCGCCTTACTGTAGGTGTTGCTATTCAGAGAGGCTAGAGGTGGCCTTAAGAGATACTCAAAATGGCCGCATCTTCTCCTCCCTGGTCTGTCTGGTCACCTCTATGAATGAGTCTCTATGACACTAACATACCCTCTGTCTGCAGCATGTATCCCCATTATAAACACATCATTCCCCGAACAACAAAAGCAGTTACACAGAACAACCCAACCAGCGCATATCATTGTGTCTGTGGTTGCGAATGATGTGGGAACAAAAAAAAACGACTCTTGTGCTTGGAGGCGGGTGGATGGATGCACTCAGCTCACCTCACCTCATCACATGACACGAGGAGGACAAGAACCTGGGACTTCAGCTCTGTCATGTTTTTGGGTGGTACTAGGGGACCAGGGGAACAGAGGCACATCCATGGATGGCTGCGTGTGATTGGTTATGGAAAAACACTACCTACATTGGACCACACAGATACAGATATACTCACTGCTGGAGAGACTCTAGTCTCAATCTGCTTATGTCCAAACAAGGCCCCACACCTCAGGCTGCTTGGCTGTGTTATGTAATGTATATGTAGGCTTCCCACGGAACGATCTGAACATGGGATAGAAAGCAGAGGTGTCTGACAGAGATAGAGTTGGAATCAGTTGATGGGATACAGTTGGAATCAGTTGATGGGATACAGTTGGAATCAGTTGATGGGATACAGTTGGAATCAGTTGATGGGATACAGTTGGAATCAGTTGATGGGATACAGTTGGATTCAATTGATGGGATACAGTTGTAATCAGTTGATGGTATACAGTTGTAATCAGTTGATGGGATACAGTTGGAATCAGTTGATGGGATACAGTTTGAATCTGTTGATGGGATACAGTTTGAATCTGTTGATGGGATACAGTTGGAATCAGTTGATGGGATAGAGTTAATACAGCTTTGGGATACCTCGGGTGCCTGTCTGTGGGGATCATGTGGGGTCAGATTTGACTTTTTTTTATGATTCTATAAAGACTTCTAGAAGGGAATTCCCTTGATTCTAGAATGGAATGGATGCATTCTACTGAGTACTGTACCTACCTACTACCGCTCAGTGTGCAAAGCTGGACTGCAACTGCATTTTGTATGATATCATACAAGCTAGGATAATAAGCTAGTAGTGTGGCACTTTGTTTTAGTTGTTTTTTATGAGGGAGGTTATTTGTTTGATGCTAGAGAGAGAGAGCAGTAGGATAGGAGGAAACATTTTATTTCACAAATAAGGGATAGCTGATTCACTTTCTCATCAGTTTCACATCACAAAATACATTATTGTTTTATTTTTCAAAGCAGCTTAGAAGCCAGTACATGTCTGACATATTTTACAAATAAGAAAGGAAAAATAAAACACAGATTTATGTAGAAGCAAATATTCACTGTGTTTTTTACTAAGTCTGACTGTAGCAAATATTAATGGGTCCCTCTCTTAACAATGCTAAATCAAGCTTAGAAATACGGTACTTTGGTATGAGATTAATGTTTTGCTTGTGTGTGTATGTCTGCTTGCTTCGTATGTTTATGCCTGTGAGCTTGAATGAGGAGAGGAACAGACAACTCTGTATGTATTTTGTACAATGTAAATGTAATGCTTTATTACATATGACTGTATATGACGGGATCTGTAAAGGGGTATGTGCATTTTTTTCACACATTATGAGGATGGCACTCCTGATGTTCCACTGGGTTTCTATATGTTCCATGTATAAGATGTTAATCATTGTAAGTTAATGAGAGCTGCTTGGATCATAAAGGAATTTGAGAAACACAACTGAGCTATATTTTATTATTATGCCTGATGTTATGCTAATTCAGCAGCAATGCTTTCTGTTCTGCTCATAGAAATAGAATGATTATATTCTATCATTCTAATTCTATAGTTCCGCTATATGCACGAGAGCTCTATCTGTACATGAGAGACAGCCTTCGATCTGCAGACCATTAATGACATCTAAAGGTTAGTGTAATGTAAATGTATATTATTGTATAGCTAACACTGTTTTTTTGTTTTGTTTTTTTAGCCTTATAGTTGTAAGAAAGTGCAGCAGCTATGTACACACCAACCATGGGGTTTGTAAGGGGATAGAGCTTGTCAATGTGACTGGTTGACTACGGCCTGGACATCTTTTCCAGGGATGTGTTCATTCCACAGATTCTGTTGCAAAATGTTTCTTAAATGGAAGCAAACGGAACAAAACGAGGAGGGACGTACCTGAATTTGTCCAATAAAAACGATTGTTTTGCTCTGTTTGCTTCCGTTTGGTTCTTAAACGGTAAACTGTTTCCGTAATGTATACACAACAGCTGTTTTGTTACTTTGTACAGATGTACAGTTTGGCTACATCCTTTGTAGTATCTTAGAGTAACAAAGCTAGCCTGTCGTTTTAGAGGCACTCGTGCCAATTTAATACAAAATCAATGTCACCACCACCACAATAAAACATTTAAAAAACGTAAAATGCCTGCCTAAATAAAACATTTAAAACAAGAACGTGATACAGCAAATGTACAGCGAAGAGTCATGTACAGTATCATCATAGTCCATTAGCTAGCTCAAATTAGATGAATGTAATTCTGCTGTTTAGAGGACTTACAGTAACCCACATGCCTGACTGACGTTTCTTGGGTTTGTGATTGGTTCCCCCTAAATGGTGACTCCTTCTGATTTGCTTCCTCTGGTCCTGTAGTCATTTTTGATTGGACAAGCTGGATGTCACATTGTGGAGCTCTGTCCCCTGATTGGCTTGGTGCCCTTCTATGCAACTGACCTGGTGGTACTGTTAGATATGTGACGTAGACTGTAATCACTGCCTTTTAGACACTGTGAATTTTTTGGTACTCTATATTTTTGTATATTGTACATTATAAAGGATAATAAACCTTGATGCCAACATGGCATGAGTCATTTGTGTGTGTGTGTGTGTGTGTGTGTGTACACGCCATCACATCACTCCAGTGAAGCACCAGACGGACAGCTCTCTTCCTGGTGCCAGCTAAGCAGTCAAGAAGAGAGCCACATTAATCAGTGGCAGTGCCAGTGTCTCAATAAAGGATAGAATCCTGCTGAAACAGAATATCTTGCCACCCAATGCCTCTGTCTGCAGATTACGCTATATGTACAGGTATCACCTGATTGACAACACACAGCATCACTATCATTTTAGACCTACACTAACTAGACACTTCCCTTACCCTGAAAGTATCCATATGCTATATGTAGCCTACAGTACTGTCCGATGGCAGGCCTGACATTAATCTGACAAGTCAGGAACTTCACCCCACTCATCCACAGAGAGACATTGAGTACAGTGCTTCCTCCTCATTTGGCTGGAGTGCTGCCCTGGCCTGGCTGTGCCTCTCCATTACCCAGAGGAGCTCAGAGCAGCTGTGAGTGGCTTTATTGATAAACGCAACAGTTACATTAATTAATCACCCCTTATCTGCTGAGATGGCTGACTGGCATGGACATGGAGTGATCATGGAGTGATCGGCAAGCTGGCTCACAGCCAGGGGGTAACTATCCATCTACAGTAGTCTCGTCCTATAGACTAATGCTGCTGAGTACTGTCCTATAGGGATGGTTGGTGTGTGAGGTAACTTTGATGATAATGAGGGTACGAGTCAGAGTGGAAGACAGGACAGGACACCCTCTCTTTTCTTCCTCCTGTCCCTCTCAGTGTCCTCTTAGCTGCAGAGCTGCAAGTTAGTACCAATTGTCCTCAGTTCTCTTTGTTACCTCAGATGCACCACTGCTAACATCTTCAGGACTCTGCTTATTGGCTCCAGTATTTTAGCATTAGCGGCAGTGCACCAAGGCCCTCTGATGTGGCCTCACTGGACATCAAACGGCTGGTTTGAGAAACATGGATCTTCAGGACTGTGCTGGTTATTTGCTGCAGTGCTTTAGCATTAGCTTAGCATCAGTGCAACCCTCTGATGTACTTCACACAATGACCAGTAGGCCTAGTGGAGCTCAGATGTTCTACTTCTTTCTGTTGATGTTTACCAAGTGGAGGGCCGTGGTTGATTGTTTTGAAGTATTGCTCCCCCGAAGGGAGGAAAGATGAAGAGTGGGAGACAGAGACAGACGTGTTTGTGTGTTTACATAACGGGGAAGATTACACAGAACAACAGATCTCTATGCCAGATGATGGCTCTCATCTCAACATCTGGGGGTTCTGGAGTCTGTTGTCATATTCAGTGGCCAGTCACACACTCCACTCAGATCTCCGTCCTCTAATGAAAACTGGGAAATTGTTTGATTTGACGCAGCAGCTTACAATTAATCCACTAGCCAACTCATCTCTGCAGTGTACGATGGAACCTCAAAGGGACTGTAAGGGACACCATGGCATTTGAAATGTAATCAAAGAGTCTAGTTTATACTGAGGAGGTACTGTGTGTTGAATGACAATTATAAGGTCCCTTTATAGATTTGTAGACATTTGGGTTTTTACACTTTTATTTTATTTCACCTTTATTTAACCAGGTAAGCCAGTTGAGAACAAGTTCTCATTTACAACTGCGACCTGGCCAAGATAAAGCAAAGCAGTGCGATAAAAACA